GCTATGTCAACCCTAACCTCACTTTTTTCAATTTTGGAGGAAAGAATAGAATAACTCGCTTTAAAATGCATTTTGAACTGTGTAAATGTATTGGAATTAGGCAGCAGATGATACGAGAAAAAATTCAAGCATTTTATTGCAAAAACTACTTAAATTCTTGTTTTTATACGGGTCTGTTACGAATCACCCCAAATGCCGGCTACGCAAGAAATCCGTCCCTAACTATCACTGGACAAAGTAAAAGCAACTTATGCCACGTGGTTACATTGTAAAGGGGTCACGCTTCGAGGCCTCAACGGTACTTCGATGGTGATTCATACCTGGGCAGCCTCAAACAGAAACTTCCTTGAACTCAAAATAAAAGATTTGCCTGTTTTCGGTGCACCCTATATTTCAGACGCCCTCCAAAACTATACCTGAGCACCGATCACATCCGCTTCGATGGTTCAAGGACCCTGTACTTGAAGCGAAAGAGGGGCCATACTCAGATTTTCCTTTGCTCCCTCCACTTAAATTAATAAACGCATTTGTTACGAATCGCCCCTGTTACAAATCGCCCCATACTCCCTTATCACAGTAAATTCCATTTTTCTGCTCAGTCACATATAGTACTACGATACGAAGGTTGTTAAGCTTAGGCTACAGCCCCGAATGACAACGCTAGCTCTTACTTCCAGTCCGCCATAAGGCTTTTTTTGTTGGGAAGGGGGCATTGCGGGGCTTACATAGCGCCCGGAAGGGGACCGCTCTCTAACTGCAGGCTAGGCACCCGAGGCCAGTACGGCCCTGTAGGAGTCAAATCAATCCCCACAGACTAAATATTCTGACTGAAATAGATTATAAACTGTAGCAATACCTCACAATGACAGGGTGTGGTGTTGGATTGTCTACCACACCGGCGGCCCTAGAATATGCACTATAAAAGTTTTGTCTCTAGTGCAGGACGTTTAACTCACATCTGTCTCACAGTGAAATAAGTCTGTTTATGTCGGTTTATGTATTTTTCCTCTTTGAGTGAAAAACGTGCCTGCTTGGTTTATTGAGAACCAGGGACCTTTTATTAATAAAAATAAGAAAATATCTTGCAAAAGTGGTCAATTTACAAGCAAAAAGACGAAATGGCCCACAATTGATATGACCCAGAATTGATTCATTGTACTACAGATCCTGCAGTTTTCACGATTCCGAAAAATAAATTCAGAAGTGAATTCCTCTCGCATTTAAGCAAATCATATCCAAATTTGAGCTTTCTACAATGCTGACCCACAACTGGTTCCAAAAATCAATTGTGGGCCAAAACAGACTATTTTTATAACAGCCACAGCTTAGTAAATATGGATGATAGACGGGGCTACTATGCTGCAAAACGTAGTCCAAGGACCATAGTTAAAGGCCGCACATGCACTTTTGTCACCAGGTCAAAATTAAAGGCCTTAATTTGGAATTTTCAAAAATGTGACCCACAATTGATTTTTTACCTTACTCATGTGTACAAATTTGCCCGTACTCAGTGTACTCACAAGTTTAAAAAAGGCGGAATTCTGTAGGTTTTTGACCGATTTAACGTCGAGTGCCGTTGAAGACGTGAAATAAAGCCTGAAAACGTTTAAAATTATGAAATTTGTGAGCAAAGCAAGGTGTACTCACCCGTACTCATGTACTCATGTGTACACCAGAACGCTGAGTGATTCACCCCTCGGGCTGGACGCTGGCTCGGGGGAGTGGTGCACACAACGTCTCAGTCGCATCTGGCCATCCGGGGTGGTCGGGCAGGATGGCCCGCTAGGGGGCTCCGCGCTGGCTCCTCGGTCGCTCGCCCAGGCAAGGGGGGGAGCGGCAGGGGGCAGGGGCTGCTGCTCTGGGGGCGCAGTACGTTGTGGGTCTCGCAGTGAAACTCAAAGGGGCGGACTGGCAACCACCAAGGGCAGGGCGGAGCTTTTATACGAATGCGAATTTCCTTGGAGGGGGAGTCGCTGGCGTGTCCGTGCCTGTCGGGCGCGCCATTTTGGCGCGTGATGGCGGTGCGTGGTACTTCCCCGGGAGGGGAAGTCGGGCCTCTGCTGGGACCGCCTTGCAGGTGTGGCCTGGTGCCCCTCCACTGGTACTTCCCCGGGAGGGGAAGTGGAGGCTCCGTGCGGCTCGGTTGATGGAGCGCCATGATGGCGCGTGCTGTTGTCGTTCTAGGTAACGACGGCGGTATCAACTTTCGCCATCCTTCTTGTGTCGGATAGAAGTTCCGCGAATGGATTCCTTTGAAACTTCTTCAGTCGCCCTGTTGTATGGGTTGGCAGTGTACCGTGATTTTTAGAGTTCTTAACATTTATAAGTTGGGAAGATTTTTACTCTATAGGCTGTGGTCAAACAAGGATCTTAACGTCTCTGGGATTTTCCCTTTTTGAATTTACGTTTCTCTGTTTACACACGGCGGGACATATGGCTGAGGTTTGCCTGACATAACAGCTTTTCTGGAAGCAGCATTCCAACGTTCCGGGGGTCATTCTCCGCCGAATCGACGATGGTCTGTTTTTGAGGTCGATCGATTCGGTCCAAACCACTTTTAATCGATGCATTGGGACCCCAAAGGAACCCGTTTAAGAGGATTTTTTTAAAATCATTTTTTCCAGAGTTATGGCCCATACCATTTTGGGAAATTTAGTGAAATTCAGTGAAATGCAAAATGCAAAATCAGCTCAATTTAATTTAAGATAATATCTTAGCTCTTGTTAAATAATCTTGTTAATCTAAGATCTAAAACAGCTTAGCTCTTAGCTCTTGTTAAATAATCTTGTTAATCTAAGATCTAAAACAGCTTAGCTAAGATATTATCTTAAATTAAATTGAGCTGATTTTGCATAACGAATGTGCGCATTCTCCTGTGCTTGTAAAATGCATCATGGGTTTTCACTATGATTGAAATTGAGTGTACTGACTTTACGCTTGAAGCAGTGGGTTAGAATTTCTGATGTGGCTTGATTACGGTTGGCTTCAAACATAGCTCTTCTTACGCTTGAAGTCAAGCGCGTGAGTACACTGTAAGATTTTACGCTTGAGGCCAGGCATACATACTACTATGCCTTAGTTTTACCAGTGCAGACCACTTACAAACAATGCAGACACTGTAGAATCAACTGTTTGAAACAATGGACCACCATTACCACCAATATCACCGACCACCATGTACTTTATGGGTTTAGGCTTAAATGGAGAGCAAAATACCTAAAATAAGGAGTGATCAATATTTTGAGCATCAATGGGATGGATTCTTGAGGGGTTTAATCTGCCCTGACTTCAAGATGTATCATTAGTAACTTTTTGACATTTGAAAATTGATTTTAGAGTCAATGCGCTTTGTCGTCATAAGTTTCGAGTAAAATTTTAGCTCAAAATTAAGTTTTATCAACCCGATTCAAAGAAGATACGTATTGCCAGATGAAATATTTTGTAGTTTTAAGCGGTCACCTAAAGTGAATCTTAGGACAAAGTATCGTCAAAATTCTCAAACCACGTAAAAAAGTTATGCTCATTTTTCACTTTTTTTCATGAATTTTCCTAAGTAAAAATTGGAAATTTTTTGATTTTTCACCTTTAGTCAGAGGAGAAGGTTTTCAGGACCCCTCTAAGCTAGTTGAAATGGAAATAGAAGCAAAAGGGGTCTCACATCACACTTTCATAGGATAAGATGAAAAGTACTGTTTTCAATGAATTTCACTAAATTTCCCAAAATGGTATGGGCCATAACTCTGGAAAAAATGATTTTAAAAAAATCCTCTTAAAGGGGTTCCTTTGGGGTCCCAATGCATCGATTAAAAGTGGTTTGGACCGAATCTATCGACCTCAAAAACAGACCATCGTCGATTCGGCGGAGAATGACCCTCCGGGATTCTTTTCGGATACGTCGACAATCGGTATGGGCCGATTGTACTCGCGTTGTTCAACGCGAGTGGAACTGCTTTGCTGGCAAAAATGTTCAACGCTACACTGAGACAAGGTGGTGCCCTGAAACTGACCGACTAAGTCGCCCGCCCCAGTTTTTAGGGCGACTTGAGTCGCCTACTTTCTGGACGACACAGTCGCCTAGTTTCTGGGCGACACAGTCGCCTAGTTTTAGGGCATCTTGGTCGCAAATACAGAGCTTACTTATCTATGCTGGCCCAAGGCATTGCACTCAAGTTTGCCTGCACATGGATAAACTCAATGATTTCACATTTGGGTGGCGTCAGATATGCCCCGAATCTAGGCGCAATAGGTGCCCCGAATCTAGGCAGCAGTGGTTTACATTAGGTCGGACCAACCCCAAAGGTGCTCAGGTTGAGGGCGCCTTGGGCCAGCATTCATAAGTAAGCTCTGTATTTACGACCAAGATGCCCTAAAACTAGGCGACTGTGTCGCCCAGAAAGTAGGCGACTCAAGTCGCCCTAAAAACTGGGGCGGGCGACTTAGTCGGTCAGTTTCAGGGCACCACCTTGTCTGAGTGTAGTTGTTGAGAATCTTTTCCTTTGCGTTGACCACGAGGTGGGGTCTGCGCGCCGGGAGGTTAGACTTCCCTTCTTGCGCTAGACTCGGAGTGCCTTGGGATAGGCTTCCCTTCGTGCACGTTCCGCCTCACCTCTCGCCCTAGCCGTCTTTTGTCCGTTGGCCTTGGCAGCCGGCCTGTGATTGGCTGTGGCTCTCCGGGTTTCCGCCAGTGGCCGCGCTTGCCGAGGGCGCTGCTGTCGCGTTCTCGGCTCGCACCTTCCCCTTCCACTGTCCATATCGTGCGCACAGAGCTGGCTATTTGCAGTGTTTTCTGTTATACGTAGATCTTTATTTATTTTCATTCTCGTAGTCCGTGGAGTCTCATAAGAGTGAGGCCTAAAAGAAAGACACAAAACACCTGGAGGTTAACACTTACGTTCCAATTCATGTTTGTTCACTGCCTGGTAAAGAACGTTCTCCTGTAGGCCAAGGTGAAGGGACTTGAATTTGGCGCCGGATTGCGAACAAGCAGGAGCCGGCAGGGAACGTTTTCAACTGTCCTACCGGGCGGTGACTATGGTGTCTTGTCGGTCGTGTCACACTTAACTAGGAGCACAAATCTTTTACATTTTAACTGATCTTGGTGGTTTCGTTAAAAATAATTACCAACGACTTAAAAATTACTTGAGGCTTTTCTGCCTCACCAATTCTGTCTCGTTGTGAAGCGGGTTGTTTCTATGCAGGCAGAGGTTGACACGGATGATGAGGGTTATGAGGGGCCCTTGGTACTGGTAAGAATAACAACATTTAACTATTTTCATTAATTCGAACGTCTCATTACCTTGTGTGGATGTTGAGAACAATTTTCTTTTTCAAATGCAGTCTTTGCTTGTTAATGATCAACGAAATTTTTTCACAGTAAAATGCTTTGATAACATACCATTTATCTAAATCTTATCTTTCTTTACTTTTTGGCAAAAGTGAAAGAGAACTTTTGTTTTTGTTTCAGGATTTGGATGAAGATGCTTTAAAAGATAATTTAACCTACTCTCAAGATCAACAGCAGAATGACACCTTGACTCAGGTATGATGAGATGAATGCCTACTGAAGATATCAACATCACTGAGGTCCTTTTCAGTTTTTCCTACAGAATGTGTTTCTGTTTCAGAGTCCACAAGAAAACGGCTTGAAGGGACTTGAGGCAATAGAGCAATTAGACCTCAAGGTCAAGGTAGGAATATAATTTCGAGTCAAGAGTAAGAAGACATTGCACTAGATTTTTGAACTTGATACTTTGGAAATTAAACTCCATCTTTCATCTTAACTGTAGTCAGTGGGAAATTTCTACAATGTACACATCTGCCTCAAATACCTTGATTTGTCGTAACATTCATGTTATTTTGTTGGCAGGAACTTTCCTCACAAGTTGGCAGGATTTTGAGTCAGGCCAAAAGCTTCCATTCTCCTAAAACGCAGACATCAAGAAACTCGGCTTTACCAAATGCTTTACATGACACGAGAAAAACGCTGAAGAGAGGAAGGAAGCCGAAACCTAATCCCAGGGGTATTAGTAGAAATTGAAAAGTTATATACCAATTAGGAATTTATCTTGCTACAATGTAACAGTTTGTTGCTTTCTTTCTCTATCTGGACAAGGTGTCAAGCTGTTTAGGTCATGCCCAATTTGTTCGAAGCAGCAGCTGAGCACCAACCTCACCAGACATTTGAGAGGGTACCATGGTGTTGAAGATGTAGCTCGTCTTTCAAGCTTGAGCACCAAGGCCTCGATGCAAGCTCAATGTACAGAGGTCCCTTTTCACGATTTGCCCAAAATCATTCAGGCCAACTGGACCGACAAAGGAACAAGAAATGATGCATTGAATTTCCTTAAAAAGTACAATTTAAGTGTTAAAGAGGTGAGGGTTACTTAAATTCCATTAAATGAACGGTAGTTTGGAAAAGGTGTTATAAAGACAACTCATCTCATCCAATCCCCCCCATCTTTTCTACAGGATTAATCAGTGCATTCAAAAACCGCCCTTAGCACGAATGAAAGGAGTGACTAGCGTCCATGACGAAGCATAGTATGAAATCAAACTGATTTGTTTCAGTTTGGAACTTAGAATCGATGACACACTTCGTAAAGTAGACTTCCTCATTGGTTTTGTATCAGTTTTCTTTAAATACAAATATTCATTTGGATTTTAAAATTTCAAATGTAAAATTGGATGGTACAGGCCAAAGTTGCTAATTTGTATCGCCACTTTTCCTGTCAAGATATTTTGCACCATAGGGTCGGAGATGTGTTTTGAAGTTAACGAAACAGTTTAAAAAACTGGTTGGTTAATAAAACATACAAAATTACAATGTCTTTTCTTATTTTTAACCTTCAAAGGGATATCTAGTTTGAAATCCATAATATATAACCACTTTTGCTTTGGAGTCCATACTTGAATGAAATGAGAACTTCAAACAAATAAGTGTTTTTTAGTCATTTGAAAAATTTCTGACGATATTGTATGTTTGCATGAGTTATTTTAAATACAAATATACTTGTTTTTGTAACGGTTTTAATAATCGTTCTTCCCTGTCTCTGCTAAGAGGTGCAAAATTTACCCGTCTTATTGTTGGTCAGCATGACAAGAAAACATGACAAGAATCTCACTGTAAGGAAATAATCACCAGACAGAACTTCGGATGTATTAAAAACATCCGGATGTTTATAAGACATCCACATGATCAAATTTCATCATTCTTGTCACAAATCCACCCGAATATTGTGCTGCAGATGTGGAAAAAAGATTGAAGGATGCAGCATGGGTGCTTTCCTTTTTAGGTGTGGATTTACGACATACATTTTAACGAGTGGTCATAGAGCCCCAAATTTGAAACCAGTATTTGAAGGAGTAAAAATTGTCAAGGGATGTTCAAAGATATGACAAAATGTTCCATTCATATATTTTTTTTTTTAATTCGGTCACCATATTTTCAGAGAGGCTTGGGTTGACTTTATTAAAAATATTATTAGTCATGATTTAAGGAAAGGACGCGTTTTTTTATGTTCAAGATTAAAATAACAGTTTATTTTTCATGAATGTGCTGTGAAACACAGCAACACTGATCTAATGTATAAAACAGTGATTGAGTATGAAACGTAATAAATACAAACACATGAGTTAAAAATGGAAACAAAAAGTCCAACACTCCAAACAGGCTGTACTCATTTTTTAGTGAGCTGCAATCGACACTTTGGGGCGATTTGGGCCAACGATTCGCAGACTTTAATCTCATAATCTGAAAAATGCTGTCGGTTGATAGATGATACAAAAACGACCGCTGGCCTGAGAGCTTCACAATAGATGTCTACAGCATGTGGGGAGCTGTCGAGTAGCTGGCGAAGTCTTTTGAACATGTGCATCAGGAATCCCACCTCGTTGTACTGCAAGTGTTGTGGACGACGATAAGTTAGACCTATTGATTGCAATTGTGGAAAACTGTCTCCAACATCGAAGAGGGTGAAGTCGATGTAGCTTCCAAGCCTTATGAGATTTTCGCTGTGGATTGAGAGGATGCTCCTTGCAATTTCAAGGTGGTCGTCGTAGGCATTCCATGCTGACATGCTGAGGACTAGGACTGTGATGTTGTCCACTTCACACAGTTTCACCAATTCACTGCCTTTGAACCGCTGCAGAAGCTTCGCACACTGCTCTCTGGTTCTCTTGCTCGTGGCAACCGCGCCTATAGTGAGGTTAGGCGGACACATTGTCCCTACATTCAGCTTCACAGGGATATGAATGCCACGCCGCATTTCAAGAAATTGTTCCCACATGATCATTGCAGAGCTGAAAGAGTCTTCACTACCTCCTTCTAGTATGTCAAGGAACGAAAAGGTAAGAGTGACTCTGGTTGTTCGTAGGTACTTGCTCGCCGCTGTGGCCAGAAGGGCGTGCCCCGAACGAACCAAACGGACTAGGTCAACAACAGTGCAACATTGAAATATGGCGTGAGAAGTCATGCTTCCTGGAGCAAAGACTTTCTCAATAGAATTGGCCATCCTGCACTGAACAGTTAGGGGCCGTCGACATTTGCGACTTTTCGATTTCGACAACGGAATAGCACTCAAAAGTTGCGTTTTTTAATGCTGATTTCAGATCTGTCCTTGGTTTTGCGATCAGACTAAGCTTTGATGACCCTACCGGCCGTTTTATGCAAAAAAGCGGTGTTTTTCATGTTTCTACTGTGTTAAGGCTCCCGGACAGCCTCCACGTCGTCGGCCAAGGTAGGTGACCGTTGAGTTGTCTTCAGTAGCATAAAAGACAACACTCTGAGCCACGAGGGGTCGTGGGTCACCCCTCTAATGTGCCAAAGACTTGAAAAACTGAATTTTTTTGGTCGAAACTCACTCAATTTTTACCATTTTTTCACCGTTTATCGACTATTACGAGAGCCCACGGGCCCGAGGTCATAACTTACGCAGACCAAAAGGTGTCACTGGGTATAAGAAAGATCACCCAGCCCCTGCCCGGGCCCGGGGAGGCGCTGGGGCAGCGAGAGAGGCGGTGTCGAATATGTTAAAAATGACCAAAATCAGCTGATCGGCCGCCTGGGACAGGCTGTGTAGGGGATGGGAGCGTGTCGCCGCGCCGGTCACGACGCTTCGCCCGCTGCCCGCCCAGCCGGCCTGCTAGCCAGCCGGCCTGCCAGCCCGTCGGCGCTGCGTAAGACTGCAAGAGGGACAGAGCGACGGGAGCTGCAGGGCGGGCAGGCTGAAAGCGTTTCCGAAGAATCCATCGCTGCCTCTGTCGCACCCCGGAGGCAGAGCGACGGAGTGCACTGTAAAAAATAGCTTTAAATTTATGTAGCCAATGGCTTTTTGAATTTTCTTAGCCAGACACGAAAGTGTGTTTAAAGCGCCACTGGCTATGGAAAGGCCACTTTCCAAACCACGAGATCGAATATATAGAGCCATTGGCTTATAAAATTTCAAGTCGAAATGTGAAATTTACCACTTGGCTAACAAAACGATGCTTCCCTGCGCCACGACTTTAAATTTGACAGCCCCTTGGCGGAGAAAAATCATAGGTGTGGCACTGAAAAGGCATCCTACCCAGACGACAGTTAAGAAATTTCAAGTCGTGGCTAAGGGAAGAATGCTTTGCTTCGCCACACGTGGTGGTGGCCAGACTAATCCTCGCGAGTCCATAATGAAGCGCTGTTGAGCGCTCCACCCAGCAGTGGTGCGGTGGCCGAGAGGTCAAGGCACAAGACATCCAAGTTGAAGTTTCGGGTTCTATACCGACCGCTTGTGCCGCTTTTTTCATCGGCCCGAGACGAATTCTCCTCGCCAAACTTGAAAGTTCACAATATTGGTTCCGAGCATACTTTTCAGCGCCGCGACTCAAAAATTGCCATTTGGCGTAGGAAAGAAGCCTTCTGATCGCCAGTGGCCAGCAAAATTTAGTGTGCCATGACGAATGAAGTTTCATTGCCACTGGCACACAAAATTCATTAAGAGTATAACTAAGAAGGGGCGTTTCACTAGCCACAACACGAAAATTCGTGTCAAAATTTTTTACAGTGTGCTGCTGGCGCGTGTTGAGTTTGAGTTGCCTAGGCACAGTGAGGCAAGGCGTCAGTGTCGGCGGTGACCGTTGCAAGCGTCGTGCCAGCCTGGCATGGTCGACATGAGCCCCGATGGCCTGAGCCCCGGCCGAGCCCGACTTGAGCGCCGACACGAGCACTGACTGAGCTACGATGGCCAGAGCCCCGAACCGAGCCTGGTTTGAGCTTCGACCTGAGTCCCATCTGAGCCCCACGCCGAAAAAAATTCCATTTTTGAATTGTTCTTCGAAGATTTTGGTTCGAATTGAAAAATTTAACTTTTTAGGCGCGGGGTTCAAATGAGGATCAAATGAGGCCCAGGTCGGGGCTCAAAACAGGCTCAGGTCGGGGTTTTGGACATCGCAGCTCGAGTCGGGCTCGGCCGGGGCTCAGTTCGGGGCTCTGGCCATCGTAGCTCAGTCAGTGCTCGTGTCGGCGCTGAAGTCGGGCCCGGCCGGGGCTCTGGCCGGCCGGGGCTCAGGCCATCGGGGCTCATGTCCATGTCGACCATGCCAGGCTGGCACGACGCTTGCAGCGGTCACCGCCGACGCCGACACTGACGCCTTGCCTCACTGTGCCTAGGCAACTCAAACTCAACACGCGCCAGCAGCACTCCGTCGCTCTGCCTCCGGGGTGCGACAGAGGCAGCGATGGATTCTTCGGAAACGCTTTCAGCCTGCCCGCCCTGCAGCTCCCGTCGCTCTGTCCCTCTTGCAGTCTTACGCAGCGCCGACGGGCTGGCAGGCCGGCTGGCTAGCAGGCCGGCTGGGCGGGCAGCGGGCGAAGCGTCGTGACCGGCGCGGCGACACGCTCCCATCCCCTACACAGCCTGTCCCAGGCGGCCGATCAGCTGATTTTGGTCATTTTTAACATATTCGACACCGCCTCTCTCGCTGCCCCAGCGCCTCCCCGGGCCCGGGCAGGGGCTGGGTGACCTTTCTTATACCCAGTGACACCTTTTGGTCTGCGTAAGTTATGACCTCGGGCCCGTGGGCTCTCGTAATAGTCGATAAACGGTGAAAAAATGGTAAAAATTGAGTGATTTTCGACCAAAAAAATTCAGTTTTTCAAGTCTTTGGCACATTAGAGGGGTGACCCACGACCCCTCGTGGCTCAGAGTGTTGTCTTTTATGCTACTGAAGACAACTCAACGGTCACCTACCTTGGCCGACGACGTGGAGGCTGTCCGGGAGCCTTAACACAGTAGAAACATGAAAAACGCCGCTTTTTTGCATAAAACGGCCGGTAGGGTCATCAAAGCTTTGTCTGATCGCAAAACCGAGGACAGATCTGAAATCAGCATTAAATAACGCAACTTTTGAGTGCTATTCCGTTGTCAAAATCGAAAAGTCGCAAATGTCGACGGCCCCTACTGAACAGTCTTCTATCTTGTCTCCCGGCCTGGTGTGGCGTTCACCCCAGTGTGGCAAAGGAGTGGCGAGCGTTCTTCCCGCGGGAAGGAACGAAATTTCCCTTTTCCTTCCTTTTTTAAAAGAACCTAAGCAAATTGAAGATATTTTGGCCCTGCAAAATTTGACTTTCAAAAATAGTTGTAGACCTTATTAATGTTGGTTCCAAACAGAGCTTTTCTCATGGAAAACTGAATGACTATCAAAAAACCGTCTATGAATACTGATTCCAATGAGCCCCCTCACATAATTTACAGAGGAAATCCAGAATAATTCCTCAAGAGGACACGTAACCAGGAAATGGCAGTGGAGAGCAATACTGATTGTTCTACATTTGCACTTTGCGAGCAAACTTGTGGTTCGATTGCAGTCCTCCAAAGCTTAAAAAAAAACCTTCAGGAGGAGATGCTCCTTCTGCCTCAAGTGCTTTAAGTCATACAATTTAAGAGAAACACGATGATTTTACATTATATCTTGAATCTATGTTGAAGGCCATCTCAGAGGCAACGTAAGCACAAGATAGTCCGGGACTTCTGACTTTGGATTTGGGTTCAGGGGGTCTTAGCCTGCCTTGAGCCCGAGTTTGGCGTCGATGGGGCCAACAGACTGCCCAGGACGGCGATGTCTGAAATTACACGACACGAGCCCATTCTCTATGGATCTCGCACACAACGGATCACATCCCATTCTGACTCAGCACATTTAAATGGCTTGGTACCCATTGCCGAATGTTCAGTCTGCCGCACCGCTAGAGGTCAGCGTGCATTACAGCTCCTACACGGCCACTTTGTCCCTAATTTCCCGCATGTCCCACATGACCTCATACTACAAAACTGCAAGATAAAGTATGAATATGACAAGTAAACAAAAACTGAGAAAAAGGAAGTACAACTAGGGTTAGCAGTACGATCTTACTAACCTCGAGGTCTGGACCCACCAGTTTCAAAGTACTTTGTACAACAATTGTTTTACCTTGAAAGTAAAATCCATCCCTGATCAAAAATTTGTCAGGAATTGTAGGTTGGTTGTAGTTTTCTTCGGCAGTTTGGTAAGGCCAAAATGTGACATGCCACAGGATAGTTTCCAACATTTCGTTCCATTGTTATCTTGCCTCTGAAACTGGTCCTGCTTAGCACTCACGTGTAGTGCGCAACTGACAGTTTGATCGATGTACCATCCTTCATGCTTTTCCCGAACCTGTTTGGCTGCTGCGAGGCTATTTTGGCAGTCGCGTGTCATTGGTCGGCCCGATCAATACATGTGGCAGTGCAAGGGGTGCGCTGGGTAGTTGGCGTGGGAAAGCACAGCACCTGGGCTGAGAAACAGCAGATTTCAATGTGATGTAGAAAGACCACTTAATCCCACACTGTTAAAAATAATCGTAAATTTACTACATTTTGTAAAACAATCATGTCGTTTTTAAACGACATATTTTATTACGACTCAAGTCGTAAATATACGACTTCAGTCGTAAATTTACGGCATATTTGTCGCTAATTTTGGTAGCGAGACGTTCCGTTTTGAAAAGAATTAAGTCGTAAATTCACAACTTAATCGTAAGTTTACGAGCGATCGTAATTTTCCTATGGAATATGTCGTGCAGTTATGACTTCAGTCGTACATTAACGAATCTTGTCGTAAATTTGCGTTACGAATCGTAAATGAACGACTCAAATCGTAGATAAGCGAGCAAAATTGCAACTTTTCATCAACTTTTCGGGGATTTCAGATTTCAAAATATGTAATCGCGATTACGACATTGTCGTAGAGGAATGATTTTTTAGTCGTTCAGTTACGACGAAGTAGTTTCAGAACGATTTCTGTCGCTATCAAAATTAACGACGTTTTTGTCGCTAATTTACGACAAACTTTTTGACAGTGCAATTGTCATTGTCTTCACTCCCAGTGATGAAAAACACAGAGCTCAATCATGAGATCCCTGGTGATTTCCTGTGAATAGAAGAAGCGACTGGGATGCCCGCGAAGATATGAAAATTTCACCAAATATTTGCAACTACTTTGATCGAAATTTGTCCATTACAGGAGCGAAACAAGATGTTCTCACTGCATGAGAAGAGAATGAATTGTTAATGCCAGTTCCCAAAATTTTTGGCTAGTGTAAGATAATGCATGATAAACGTCTTTGGCAAGGGCATTAAACCAACATCGGCTGTTATTAGCCTCAAAAATTTCCAAAGGACACTAAAAATTATTCCGTCAAATGGTCATTGCCCATGACGAGCATTTTTTCTATGCCTTTGTTTCCCTTAAGCTCATTTTACATATTTTAAACGTTTTACACATTTGCACACGTGCCTACCTCTGAACAAGCTCAGGTATAAGTGTTGCACTGAAAGTAGTCAATTTTTTCACCCTTTGTGTGATTTACTTGGTAACGTGGCAAGTTTTAGAGGGGAAGAGTCAGTACAGTTTTCTCATCCAAAGGACCACGACGTCATGCTCCTGGAATAGGTGAGAGAGAGAGAGAGAGAGAGAGAGTGTGTGTGTGTGTAAAGGGGGGGGGGGTGAAACTTCCGGAATATGGTCCTGTTTGTGTTTTGACATTTCCAGCTTGTGCCCAACTTGAAACTGCTCTGGGTGCAACAGCTGTGTCGGCCGTAATGCCGTGTCGTGCCCGCGTTAAGCGCCGGGCAGCCCTTCCGGCCCTGTCGAGCCATTCCGCCGCCCGCACTGCGTCTCCCTCGCACTCGTGGAGCGTGCCGTGGGGGTGCGAGAGAGACAGAGCGAGAGGTGGCGGCATGGTTCGACGGGGCTATCGAGCCGCACCCTCCGCCCACGGGGCGCCGCCAGCGCGGTGCACGGGGCGGCGCCAGTCCCAGCGCCACGGCGGACGCGCGGCGCCACGCGTCGACTGGCGGCGGCGGGCCGAACGGACCACCATGGACTTCATGGTGACGCAACGGCGGCCCAAACAGTCCTCTATGGACTTCATGATGACGCAACGGCGGCCCAAAGGTACGGTCAACGTGGAATGTTTCCTTTATTTTCGAAACCTCTGTTTCGAGTGTGCGAGTGTTTCGAGTGTGCACATATGCGAGCAGTCTGCATTTTAACGAAATTATGTGTACAATTGAGTGTGAGCGTAGTGAGTTTCCACTTAATTCAGCCATGCTCTTCGCCTACTTACAGGCGTTTGTCTTGAAAATTGCCTGCATGTATTCAGGCGTTTTTCACCTAAAATCTAAGTGAGTGGGAGTGTGTGTAGGCTGGACGCGTACCGAGGGGGGAACAGCTTCCCACATTCATTGTACAAAATCTGACCACATTCCACATTCAGGTGGCAAAAACGCCTGTAAGTAGGCAACATGTGTGGCAAAAACGCCTCAAAGTAGGCAACATGTGTGGCAGAACGCCAGAAATCTTGCACATTCACACAATCATTGTAACACAAAATTTTTCAGTGGGTCACCCCTCGACGCGTACCGTAAGTGCAAGAAGTGGCAGACACCTTGCACCTGTGTCGCTCGATTTGTTTCCAACTATGGTCTAGCTCTGAGAATCCAAGCGCTTTGAGTAAGATGGGTGCGATGCGTCGAAAGACGTCGCAGGTTAAGTGCAATGCCTTTCCCATGCATTACATAGGGCATTTCCGTGAAGCATCACAGTCATTGTAACTGCGCTAACCACCATCTATATTTTGCGAGGAAAAACTTATCACAATGTTTTGCAATGATGAATACTGAAAATCTGAGATTAATAAAGTGTAAATTACGTAAATTTTGAAATAACTTTACAGGTGACGAAGTCTACTCTGAGGGCCGGCAGCGGGCATGGACACTTCCAGTGAAGCCGGTATTTCGCAAATCCCTTCTGGTTTCGTCAAACCTGGACAGGTCTTCGTCATCGCACTGGAGCCCCGCCTCTTCTCCCGTGCCTTCCTCGGTTGCAGACGGGTTCCTCTTAGGGTTCCGTCCGGCCCTGGTGTTCGCTCAGGTGGGTTCCAACGACTCAGACACACACTGAGGATGAAAGTGTCACAATCACGACTAAAACTATGGGTGAGAATAATTTCATTTTGCGGTCAGACATTTTGGTTTGTCCAGATTTCGGTGAGACTTTCAGGTCTGACCAAATCTGGCAAGCCTGGTTTGTCTCGTTCTGTTGTCTCGCCTCTGGAGTGGAGAGGAGTATGACCAATGGGAGCGAAAATACAATGCAAATGGGACAGAGCAATGGCAACAGTTGGCCACTCCAACAGATGTTCAGCTTGCTGCCAGTGAGCAAGCCGTCGGACGCCCAGCACGCGGATTTCCGGTGGAAGTCGGCAAGGACCGTCATCACGGCCATCATCATCGCCCTGGCCATCTTCAAGTCGAGCTTTTCCATCATCCGTATGATTGAGACCGGGGTCAAGTACAACACTTCAGGTACAGCACTCAACAGTGGTCGCACTGAGGTCATGGTCATAACTGTGAAAATTTGTTGTCACTTTATGACAAAAACGCGGATGACATTTTCACCACTTTCAAATGATGACAATCTCATCACAAATTGATGACATTTTCATCAAAGCTCCTATGCTTATTGCATGGGCGTGACAACAATGTCATCAATATTTTTGATGACATTGTTGGAAGGAAAATAAGCCTTGAAATTATCACCAAGTGACGACTCAAATTTTCACAGTGCAGTGGTCATGGATCACCACCTTACCTTACACTGAACACGGGAAGCTCTGCCTCCATCGACTAACGCTCGCGAGAGTCACCTGGTTTTCTGCGCAGTGAACGCCATTTTCTTCACCATGACCATCACGGCGCAGGTGTTGTTCCTGCGCGTGAGCAGCGCGTGGCGCGGGCTGGTGCTGGCGGTGGGCCGCGTGGAGGCGGTCTTCATCAGGGTCTACGGCAACCCGCACAAGCTGCGGCCGCGCATGCTCGCCGTCACCGCGGCCGCCCTTGCCATGGCGGTTGGTTAGTAGAAACAAAACTAAGACAAACTGCCGCAGCTGACCAGGCTCGAATATCCGCTCTGTGAAATTCGCACCGTTAATCGGGATTTTCAGACCTGGGTCGTGGAAATCTCCCCAACTGCTTGCACTTGTGGAACAGTGGCTTAAAAACTAAGCCCTTGCCGTAAACGATTTACGCCCCACACGGTAAAAACAATACCTGGTTTTCTCAGGAAGCCTATGGTAAAGACATAGGCGATTTCCATGAGGTTCCTGGGAAAACCAGGATCCGGTTTTACCGTGCAGGAACAGCGCGATACCCCCCTGCAACAAGCAGCTATCTACGCTCACTGTCTCGATAACCGACTATCTACGCGCGCTCTCCCGACAACCGGCTATCTACACGGGCTGTCTGGATAACCGACTATCTGCTTTCTCCACCTCGCGAGATTGAATGCTTTTATTTATCCAACCAATTAAGTTGCCCTCGCAAAACCTTTACCAAAACTTGTCAAAAGTTTGTCAAAGCAAGATTAAGTATGGTTTAAACGGGTCGCTTTAAGTATCATGGAGAAAAATACTTCGTTATCCGACAACCCTAACCTCGCTACGATGTTGGATAGTCGGTTATCCAGACAGCCCATGTAGATAGCCGGTTGTCGGGAGAGCGCCCGTAGATAGTCGGTTATCGAGACAGTGAGCGTAGATAGCTGCTTGTTGCAGGGGAGTATCGAGCGTGACTCGCAGGGATCCTTAACTTACCTCATAAGGGCATCATAACGTTATCATAAGAGTTAAAGTTATTACCCTTAACTTCTAACATCTTTTTAAGGGGAGGTTCTGGTGAAAATCTTGCCATTTCCCAAATGGATCCCAGTGTCATTATTTGTTCGGAATATAAGATCTTTCTTTGAGGAGACTAAAATTTGATTTTTGAAGGCACATGCCAGGCTCTGAACCCAGTCGAAGAGTCTTTTTGAGCCTACTTTGGCTGTATCTTAAAAAATCTCCTTGCGCATACTATTTTGTCGTAAAAGGTTGACCTTCACATTTTTCACTTCTTCGATTCATTTTCAAAAAATTCCGGCATGCATAGCTCAAAATTTCCATTATATTATTAACTGTAAGCTTTTTAAGCTGAAAAGTCCCTAAAATTTGTCTATTTTGTACATTTTTGCTCAATTATAGTGACATGATTGGTTAGAAAGCTTGCGAATGAAAATGTTATTTACATTTTGAGTTGTGCATGCCGGCATCTTTCAAAAATGAATCGAAGAAGTGAAAAATGCCAAGGCCAAACTTTTCCGACAAAATAGTATGCGCAAGAAGATTTTTAAAGTTACAGCCTAAATAGGAGAAAATGGCTCTGCAACTGGGTTCAGAGCATAGAATGTGAGTCCCCAATGAAAATTTTTATTAATTACTTGGAAAGACATCAAATTTTTAACTAATTTTCACAGCGGGACCTATTTAGAAGAAAATAGCATTTTCACCAGAACCTCCCCTTAAAAGGGTAAGTTATTTTTTTATGTCTCGAATTTGTGTGGATATACTTTTGCAAGTACTTTCATAAGTCCGTACCCTTAACCTGTAGCGAACATTGTCTTATGTTACGTTATGTCAGCAGTGTTAGCTAAATGTTGAGTTAAGTTAAGGATCCCTGGTGGTGACTCGCCCTTGAGGAATAGATATGGGCTCTTGTTATACATTCCTGGCATGATTTCAATGCCGTTTTTAAGGCATTAAACGATTCACGACCTTCAAGGGTGACTGTTTATGCCCTTGAGGGCGTAGTTTTTATGTCTTTGTTTTACCAGTATGCTCAGCTGTCGTCACACATCCCTGGCTTGCTTACAGTGGAGCACGCTATGGCCATAATGGGGACGCTGGGCTACGTGTGGCCATGCTACCAGCGTGGAGGCGTTAGTCTTCTCCTCCAGGGCTACTTCCTCACCAAATACAGGAAGGTAACTCTATAGTTTGGAAACAATGACTTTATTTGTTAAACATCCTGTTACCGTAAACTGGGGCTACTTTGCGCACTGGAGTAACTTTGGCTCAACGGCTAAAAATGTTATCAATGGATAAAACCCACTTAAAACAAATTTCTCTAGCCCATGGGCTAAAGTAGCTACGGTTTACGGTACCCGAGAGGCTAAGCTTGCTCTGCTTGAGTATTTCAGGAAAAAAATTAAGCTCTTTTCCCCCTTTGTAATGTAAAGAATTGTGTATAGTCCGACAACATGGACTAAATTTGCTTTGGCTCTTACAATGAGTCAGAAATAATATATTGACATCAAAGTAGTTGATATATTTGCAATGTAAAGATATGTAACCATAGACTTCGATTTTCGACGACGTCGAATCGACGGTCTACTTCTGACTGGTAAAAAGCAAAAAACGGCATTTTACCAGAAAGATTTATGAACTCGTTCCATTCATGAGTCTGTCTAAATTGTGTGTTTTGTGTCTCTGAATCTCTACCCCTAGACATTCACGATGATGACGTTCACGGCATGGAAGGCGGCTGTGGTGATGGCGCTGCAGATTATCAACCACTTTGTCTGGAGCTTCCTGGATCTGTTCGTGTCGCTCTTCGCTATGGGACTCTCGGCTCGCTTTCATCAGATTAACATTGAGCTAGAGGCCATCAGCAATGAGGTAGTACTCCAGCAAAGACTAGAGGGGTGACCCACTGCAAAATCTTTAGAACAATCATTGTGAGAACACTGAGGAAACCTTACAAACTATTTCAGGCTTTACAAAGCAAAACAGTTTGTTAACAAAGTATTTTAAGCATACATCAGCCTAAAAAAAATACTTCGCAATTTACGAACTATTTCTTCGTATAACAAAGTAAATTGGTTTGTATGTCTGTATACAGCATACAAATATATGCTCAAAATACTGCGTAAGGTTTTAAGGGTGAATATGCTGGATTGTGCGAGGTTTTCGTTGTATTTGCTGCCTGAGTTTTTTGTACGATGAATGTCGGACGTTGTTCTCGAGAAATTCTTGATGTGCGAATTAAAAAAGCGGTGCAGTGTTGAAATTCTGTCTCCAAAAGGAGTTTAGAAACGAAAGCCATTTAGCAATGTGCAATGAATGCCACGCACATGCGCAGCACCAATGCGCTATCTTGATTTTCAGGCTGCGAACGGTTTGATTCATAATCTTCGTTTTATCTTTTCCAGGCTCAGACACCCGAATTTTGGAGGAGAAAGCGTGCCTTGTACAACGTTTTGGCTGAGTTGGTCAGACAAGTGGATCTAGTCCTTGGCCCTGTCATCCTTGTATCCTACGCGTCGGATCTGTACTTTATTTGCCTTCAGACGCTGTCTATAGTCAAGTGAGTATGGGAGGATGGGGAATTCGTAACACCCATATTTACGCAATCGTGACTCGGCTTGTAAAGGAAAAAGTGGGTACAACCTTAAAGGATCTTATTCATTTGCAATTGACACGGTCGAGACCTTTTCAGGTAAATGGCTTTGAGAAGAGGGTGGAAACTCGCGAATTCTGTTACGAACTGTCCCACCCTCCCATCGTGTGCGCCGGGTGATGAGACACATTGCGTGCCATCCCCCCTCCTTCCTTTTTCCCCCCCTTCTCTCTCTCTCTCTCCCTCTCACCGTCGGCGCGCGTGAATAAACGTCCCATTGCGATCGTCCCGTGCTGCGTGAGGGTGAAACAGATTTAGATTCACTTATCACCGATGCCCTTGCCGCGGAAGCGTTTTTGGGTATCGATTGTGCTTGTTTACGTCCTCCTTATTATGCTTCCCCGTGATTTCGCTCAGTAAAAAGGCTCACGAGAGAGATGGAAGTTACCTTCATAACCGTAAATTACTTAGCGTTTCCTTAGTGTTGTGAACGTATCGCTCAACAACCTGCAAACTTCCTTTCTTTGCAAGGCCTAAAAGAACAGGTTCCAATGTTTTGAGAGAGTACATAAAAGGCGGTAGTTGACATACTTAGAATAATAAGGAAACACCATTTACCGTGTTATCTGTCACCGGATAAGCTCTGTGTTCATTGTTACCAGGAGCGTAACATCACTTTGAAATGAATGAGACAAAATGTCACGTTCCTTTGCGCATTGTGTCACATTCGTTTGGACGTGAGTCAGCCACAATTTAGCTTTATTGAAGTTGGAACGAATGTGACTCAATGCTCAAAGAGACGTGACATTTGGTCACAGTCGTTTCTACGTGAAGTCACGTTCCTGGAGTGGTGTACTTCTGTCACAGCCCTGTCAATGTATCGCGATTCCACAAAGTCTACTTCAGCTTTTCACTGGCTTACATCATTCTGCGCACCACGTTTATGACATACGTAGCCTCCAACCTGAACGAGGAGAGCAAGAGGCCGAAGGACGTCCTTTTCGACCTGCCGTCATCGAGCTATTCCATTGAGGTGCGTTCACTGCGTAGCGGACACAATGCACCTTGAGAAAGAGGCCTGCCAGTTCTTGCACTCATCCTACGCGCCTAGCGCACTCTCACCCACTTAGTTTTTCGATGAAAAATGCTTGCACTTTGTGAATTTGTGCGGGGCAAAAGTCTATGAGGAGGTGGGAAGTTTTGATTCAATGATAACACGCTTCAGTCACATTCTTCTGTAGATTACCGTGGCATTCAGGCAGGCAGTCCCTGGCAAGCCCCTCGGCTGCACTTCAGGAAGATTTTTCTCATTCCGATGAACATTGTCCTTCGAAATCAAAATGGTCGTTGGAAGAGATTTAGATTTTAGTGCGAGACGTGTAACAAGGATATAGACTATGAAGTTGAAACCTTTCATCAATCACAAGTGGTTGGCGAAACTTAATATAGAGTTCTATGCTTGCTGTTCCAGGCAGAGAGATTCCTCACGCAAGTTCTCACGGACAATGTAGCACTGACAGGGTGCAATTTCTTTACGATATCCAGGTCATTTTTGCTGACGGTGAGTGGAGTCGTGACTGACTGCTTTATTACATTATTTACAATAAATGCGTCGTACGAGGTGATGAATACAGAGCCTAGAAAGTCACGCCCTTTCGTTCGCCGTGACTGCGGAACTAACAGTTACGACAACTCTTTGCAGGTTGGGGGCACGATTGTCACGTACGTAGTCGTTCTGGTCCAGTTCAATCGCGGGAAAGACGCCAATCCAGACGCGGCCCTGAGCAACGGCACTGTCTCATGCACTTGCGAAGACCTCAAGATATACTCATGCTGATTTTTTCAGAACAGACAGTTGGTGGTTCAAAGTCCACCACCTCTCAATGTGACTTGTGTTTCAAGTAGGCAAATGGTTGTTCAACTAACATTTCGTAATTTTCAACGTACCTGAGCGCGCACATTTTAATTTGTTACCTAAATTTTAAAAATTTAACAGTCTTCTCTTATACTCTACATATCCTAAAGCATACATTGTACGCTCTACCTGGAGCATGCTTGTAAGCACGCCGTTACTAGCGCATGCCTTCAAAGCAAGCACTTACTAGTGCCTACATGCCATGTACACGCTTCCTGATGCAGGCAAGTCCCTATCACTTGTGCCCGAGAGGTATGCGTCAGTTAGCGTGTAGTACATGGCATGTATGCACTAGTTAATGCGTGCTTGGCAAGCATGCCCTAGCTAGAGCGTGCTTGCAGGCATGCTCCAGGTAGAGCATACAATGTACACTTTCGGATTTGTAGAGTACTTTCTTCCATAAAGTGTTAAACATTTTTTCTAATAAACGATACCAAGTATCAAAAACTGTATTGTTGCGGTGACATGAACATGCTGTAGTCCTTGGCAGAACTTTCTGGTTCAAAGTAGTATCTAAAACTTACGTATACTGAGTTGGGTTTGGGCGCAACTTCATAAATTAATATTGCAATAAAAATTGCCCCAGGACCAAGGTAGGTGACAGTACAACACCAGAACAAAATCACATTAGATTTTATTTGCGAATTTGCAAATTGGAGTCAAGTCAAGGTTGTCCTCTCCGCTTCCTGGATCAAGAATTTACACAGATCAAAATGAGCAGTTTGGAGACAATCAGTTTGGAAAGGGCATTACAGGTCCGCACTGTAAATGTCTTACGGTAAGGTTGCACCAACATAGTATGGTGGAGATTTTCTCCATAATACCAACGAAATTCGTCAAAATATCTATAAGGTACAATGAATTCTCAATGGTGTTGCGAAGTCAGCTGCACCACCAGAATATGGAGAATCTTCACTGTACAACATTTAGAGTGAGTCCTTTCGGCCTTTGGGCCAGGCGTGGTGCCTGGCCTTGATCATGTCCGCGGCCTTCTCCGCCACCATGAGCACCATGGCGATGGTGTTGCCGCAGACGGCGTGCGGCGCCACGCTGGCGTCCGCCACGGAGAGCCTCTTGACGCCGCGCACCCGCAGGCTCGGGTCCAGGACGCTGCCGGGGCCGCCCATGGCGCACGAGCCCACGGGGTGGCCGTACGAAATGCTGTGCTTCACCGTGAGGCAGCGCCAGTATTTCCGGGTCCCGTACTCGAACTGCGCGCAGTCTGTCAACATTGGGCGAAATAGGGGCTGTTCACTGTCGTTCCAGGGAACGTGACGTCAGGTTTAAACGAATGTGACAAAATGCCACGTTCCTGTGAGCATTGAGTCACACATTCGTTTCAACGTGATTACGCTGATTTATGGCTGATTCACGTCTAAACGAATGTGACACAATGCTCAAAGGAACGTGACATTTTGTCGCATTCGTTTGAACGTGATGTCACGTTCCTGGGATGAAAGTGTCGGGATAATTTTCACGGCAAAAGGGAATCCCAGGCGTTACTTTTGCATGATTAGAACACGGGTTAAAATGGTCTTGACATTTACTTCACAAGATTTGGCATTTTACATCTGATGTCATATCCGAATTTTTCACAATATAAGCATCTCATAAGGTATGGCATGGGTTCTAAAGTATCACATCTTTTCCAAGAAACAGCTGTCCCATTTGTACTCCGTGTCCCAAAACTACCCTACTGACCCTACGATAGAGTGATCACTCAGAAAAGGCTACGAATGATCTGCTGGGTCAAAATTGGTCAAAGCGCCCGGCAAAGAGCTCCAGGTGCAGAACGTGTGAACCGAAAGTATCGTAATTGCGTTTCAAGTCGGTGGAGTTGCAGGGCCACAAAATTGACCCATGTCTTGGGGGCCTTGTCAATGTACTCATCAGACTTCCGGGGGCAGAACTTCTTCAGTGAGCGAAAACAGAGCAACATCAATGGCAAGTCTTCTTCTGCACTCACCAGCAGCAGCGGTTGTATTCAGCTTAATTCCAGCCTTCTTGAAAGCTTCCGTTTCACCAAGCTTCGTCGCCCAAATCATTCCGTCAATCAGTTTCTTCCTGTCCCTGGAAAAGACAGAGAGGCATAAACTCTTCAAAGAGTTACAACGTCTTAGAAAGATTTCTATCTTGAACTCTTTGAGGTGAAGCAAAATTTTACCGCCACCAAATTAAGAGACGACAGGAGCCTACGTCGTGTACAATGCAAAGCCGTTGGCAAGTTTGCTTACCACAAAATAGGCAAGCCGTTTGGAATGATAAACATTTTCAAGTCTGACCCCGAAACACTCCCCAGCTTGCCAAAACTTATTGGCAAGCTGATGATTTCAGGTCAAGGCTTGCCAATAGGGTACTTTCGTAGATCCTGCACCGGAAGCAAGCAGACCAGCAGACGCCAAATTGGCCGGAAACTAACCTCCCTTCGGATCTAAAACTATAGCCGAGCTGTTCAAATATTGCTCGCGAAACACATATGCACTGCAAACAAGTACCAAACGACTGTTTATGTTCAAGTGTGGCCAATACGTTTGACTAACGTCTCTTTCCCATGTCAAGTTTGGATCTACTTCCGCCAACATGGCGTCTGTGTGCTTCCGGTTCAGGGATCTACGAAAGTACCCTATTTTTGGCATTAGCAAACATGCCACCGTATTTGCAGTGTTTTTAAAATGTCCGGTCAATTCATTTCTCTGACCTTCCATATTTTATTTTCCCTAACGTAAACAATGACTTTGCAGTACTCACTTGGTGTTCTTAGCAAGACCGTTGAGGCCGATGACTGGAGGCTTCGTAGGATCTGTCGAGTTCAGGGACACCGTACCCCTGCTCTCCACGTTCACCACCACCGTCTCAACGTCGATCGCGACATACTGGTTTTTGTTGTTGACTCCGTTCACACCCACACCTGTTAGTTAAGAGGGACAAAACAATTATCACGCTGCGAAGAAAGATGAGTCAGAGATTCCGACGTTAGTGACCAGATGATGTGTTACAGCGGTGAATACCGTGGTTCTGGTCACATTTAGTAAAACCTCTAAAAGCTCCCGCGTACTTGTTGAAAAACAACTTGCCGCTAATTTTCGGAAAATTCGAAACCTCCTGTGTTTATATTTAGATTTTGTTTCTTGCAGGCCTACCGGTATAGCGCAAAAAATCACTGGTAACAAAAGCGCAACTTCTTGAGTCAGACATGAAATTACGCTTGAAATGAAGCATAGCCCAGAAACTCCCCGATGCATCTAGATGAGGGGAATATTGGCAGATGAGCCTGTTACGTCTGATTTCAACCGTTAACTGATTTCGCTTGAAAACAGAGGGCGATACTACGCATAAGTTTCACCAGTGACCTTATAGAAATACGAAGGCTTTGGAATTTCTCGAAGAAGCTTCGGAACACACTTTCGGGATTTTCCAGCAGACACCTCCATCAGACGCCTAGCGACGGCGAAGTAAGCTACAAAGATCGGAAAGGTAGTCCTAACAAGCCCCTCTTGTTAGTTGTGTGTTATTGATGATTCTTAACGTTAGTTTAAAATTTATGATGCGATACCTTTTTCATTGCGCTTATGATGCAATAAAATTTGTGTTGCATTTGTAATGAGTTCATTATCCACATGGGAAAACAGTGCAGTGCGTAAGTACCCTGGAAGCGGTAGTTGACGTCGGGCCGCGGGTCCTCGCTGTCGCTGCGGAGCTTGTGGAAGGCCGTGATGGCGATGGGCCCGAGCAGGTACTGGTTGTGTTGTTAACGGGCCGCGGAAGCGTGAACATGACCGAGCGCGCCGTCTTGAAGTGCTGCTGCATGCGCTGCCCCACCGGCACATCCGCCACCAGCGGCAGGCCCAGCTTCGCCACCTCCTCCTGCGTCCAGCCATTAAAGGCAATAATAACACGGAGAATCCAAACGCACTGCACCAGCTGAACAGTGTGAGGGAAGGTGAGGTACATTGGAACACCTTTTCTTTTTCCTTGCGCTTCAAGTCGAAGAGCTTAAGAGCAAGAAAAGTCATGGCCGGCCTAAATTATGCATCGATATGCCTATCACACCCTGAAGCATCCAAACTTATTTAGACAAGTGCTTCGTCGGAAGAAACATTTTCCCAAGAGTCTACACTTGTCCCAAAGTGGACTGCAGACTACGCTATTTTAGGTCCAACAAACAAAAGCCGTTTGCTATTACAAAGTATTTTGAGCATGCATATGCCTTCAAAGATAAAAGATCGTAATTCACGAACTAATTCTTCATGTAACAAACTGAAGTGATTGTGCCTTACATGTGCTCAAAATGCTTCGCAACATTTTGTGCGTGCAGTGGGTGGTAACCACCAACCTTGGGTCCGACTCCGGAGAGGAGAAGCAGTTTGGCAGTGTTGTAGTTGCCGGCGCTCAGCACCACCTCGCGGCGCGCGCGGACCTCCACGTCCTTGCCCTCCGCCGTCCGGTACACCACGCCAACCGCCACCTTGCCCTCGAACAGCACGCGGGTCGCCTGCAAGCATAGCACACTGGTGAAGTTCACGCCTGCAGCCGTAGAAGATCAAGATGCATCTGTAGGTGTGGACGCAGCGAAGTAGACATTTGTATGATGAATACTGTATAACACAGAGTACACATCGAGGGGTCCTATTCTAAAGATCTTATCTGGTCGTTCCCCCCAAGAGAATCTTATCTTAAAAGCATGGGAATTTCACTCAATTTGATCATTTGGGACGGATACGAGAGTAAGCGGATTATATTTCTACATGCACTGGTTTTTTTGATCTTTCGTCTTTAAATTAAAGTGAATTAAATCACAAATTCTATTGATTTGCTGGGGGGGCATTCCATCCCACATCGGCCACTTTTGTAGGTCACCATTTCGGATCACGATGAAAATTTTTTAGTGGGTAGACCTTATCAAAAAAACATTCTGCGCAAAATCTCAGCCAGATCGGTCGAGTAGTTCCTGAGATAAGCGCCCTCAAAGTATTAGTCAAAACTTCCTTTAGGTGGTTTGAGCAAATTCGCACTTTTTCACGTTTTGGCCGATAACTCCGTCACTATTGAAGCTACGATGATTCCCGGCACGGTTTCTGAAAGGGGATACTGTGAGGATTCAGAAAATGTACTTGGATTTGAGATACGACTAGGTAAAGGTGGTGAAAAAAGTGAAAAATCGCAAAAAATTTGCTTTTTCGGACCAATTTTCAGTGAGATTTCCGGCCTATGCCCATATCGTGAAAATCCAAACCGAATAGCGGAAATTGTAGTCCATACCATGCCCAAACACGCTACGATCTCGGAATTGTTGGGTGTGGGTCTAGTTTCGGAGCTGCAGCGACTTGAAAATTCGTAAAAATAGGTCAAATTCTGTTTTTGGCCAAAGTGCACGCGGGCAGTGTTTTTTTGAACAGGCTCCACGCGGCATGGGTAGCTTTGTTCAGATACCCCTTTTTGACCTTATTTGAAGATTTAAGGTTCCCCATTTGAACAATGCAATCGATATTGTTCGAAGTGTCCTGGATCCACGAAAAACGAAAGCTGGGAACGCCTGCAGGGGGTAGGCAACCCAACTGGCTCGCCCGTACGCCGTCCGGTCTTGCCTACTGCACAGGCGCTCGGGCCACTGGGGTCGGCCAGCTATGGCAGTGTCTTCTTCTCTCTCTCTCTCTCCCCCCCCCCCCCCCCCCCCCCCCCAAGGTCATATGCATCTCGGTTGCGCAGACCTATCTTCCATATGACCTTAACCCCCCCCCCCTCCCCCCGCGGCCTTCCCGTCCAGGTAAGGCAGGCCGTCGACGGTGTCCGAGACCAAGTCGCGGCTGGCTCTCCGTACACCAACGCAGCACAGGGCTCTTCAGACTGGAGGGGGCCAGGCACCTGGTCCAAGCGAACCTCTACATCACCGTCAGTGACGCTACAACGGTAGCACCAGAGCTGCCCCACGAACGGCGCAAGACCATTGACACGCACCGCGTCAAATTCACCCATCACAATAAGACCACGGGTCGGACGTTTTTGTTTGGACTTGTGCCGATTGAACGGATTGCAACAGTCGACAGGTTACGACCACCAGGGGTTTCTGAGAAAAACTTCATGATAGATGGGACAATGTCAACGAAGAACAGCCTTCAGGCAGTTGAAAGGTACTTACTAGGCCTCTGTTTAGACATTTTTCAGACAAACACTCGATTTTCAAAGGGTGAAACAACACAAGCGTCTGCAAAATGAACTATATTCACCCCAAACAACAAAAAACAACCGCTGACACTGCTGCAGGCTGCGCTCTGCGCAAAACCCGAAAACCACCCAGCATCTCTCTAACTCTCCTCCCTTCCCGCTCCCCTCCCCACCTCCTCGTCCCTTCCGCGACAGCCCGCCGCGGCTAGGCAAGGCCTCGGACACCGTTGACAGCGTGCATTGCCTGGCACCCGATCGTCTCCCGAAACGCCCGGCGTGGTCATCGGCCGAGAGTCGTTTTCGTCGCTCTGTCTCTCTCGCACCCACGGGATGTGGCGTGCCGTATAGGTGCGAGAGAGACAGAGCGACGAAAACGACTCTCGGAATCAGTCTGCAGAGCCCTGTGCTGCGTTGGTGTACGGAGAGCCAGCCGCGACTTGGTCTCGGACACAGTCGACGGCCTGCCTTACCTGGACGGGAAGGCCGCGGGGGGGGGGGGGGGGGGGGGGGGGCGAAGCGGAGAAAGAGAGAGAAAGACACTGCCATAGCTGGCCGACCGAAATGGCCCGAGCGCCTGTGCAGTAGGCTAGACCGAACGGCGTACGGGCGAGCTAGTTGGGTTGCCTACCCCCTGCAGGCGTTCCCAGCTTTCGTTTTTCGTGGATCCAGGACACTTGTTCGAACAATATCGATTGCATTGTTCAAATGGGGAACCTTAAATCTTCAAATAAGGTCAAAAAGGGGTATCTGAACAAAGCTACCCATGCCGCGTGGAGCCTGTTCAAAAAAAACACTGCCCGCGTGCACTTTGGCCAAAAACAGAATTTGACCTATTTTTACGAATTTTCAAGTCGCTGCAGCTCCGAAACTAGACCCACACCCAACAATTCCGAGATCGTAGCGTGTTTGGGCATGGTATGGACTACAATTTCCGCTATTCGGTTTGGATTTTCACGATACGGGCATAGGCCGGAAATCTCACTGAAAATTGGTCCAAAAAAACCATTTTTTTTGCGATTTTTCACTTTTTTCACCACCTTTACCTAGTCGTATCTCAAATCCAAGTACATTTTCTGAATCCTCACAGTATCCCCTTTCAGAAACCGTGCCGGGAATCATCGTAGCTTCAATAGTGACGGAGTTATCGGCCAAAACGTGAAAAAGTGCGAATTTGCTCAAACCACCTAAAGGAAGTTTTAACTAAAACTTTGAGGGCGCTTCTCAGGAACTACTCGACCGATCTGGCTGAGATTTTGCACAGAATGTTTTTTTGATAAGGTCTACCCACAAAAAAATTTTCATCGTGATCCGAAATGGTGACCTACAAAAGTGGCCGATGTGGGATGGAATGCCCCTGGAGTGAAATTCGTCTGCGTTTAAGATAAGATTCTCTTGGGGGGAACGCCCAGATAGGATCTTTTGAATAGGACCCCTCGGCATGTAAGCTTGCGGAGTGTAACGTCCCAATCTCTGCACCGCACGTGCTATGTTCATATCGTTTGGAATCTCAGTGTCCGCTACCTGGGCGTTCGTTCGCACGACGAGGTTGCTCCGCTTGTCAACGATGGGGTCGATGAGGAGTTCCTGTCAACAAAGAAGAACGTGTGGTTCAATTCTTGAACTTGGTACCATCTCTATCATTCCTTTGTTTAGTTTTAGTTTTCCCTGGTAGCAGTTATTTTGGAGCAAACGTGGAGAACCCTATTTATTGTCGATTCAAGGTTAAATGGCATCACGTTGAAGCATCAGGACACGCTCATTTTCCACATGTCATTCTCCTCGAACGAGTGTTCCAAGAGCGGAGACTGCACATTCCCCACCTCCGCATTTCCAGAGTGCACTTCACCGCACTCGGTTTTGCAGTGCACGATCGGTGCGGGGAGGAATTGAACATACGAAGAGTGGGGACGAATTCGGACGTCATTCTGCGGCCTACCTTCATGCTCTTGGGGCGGCGGTTGATTGACCAGACTTGCTTCACCATGACGCTCTCGGTCTGCTGGGCGCCGTTCACGTCGCGCTCCTGGATGCCCGCGTCCTTCAGCGCGTCCAGGATGACGCGGATGTCTGGCTGCGTGGGCTCCGTGCCCATGGACACCGGGCCCTGCTCGCCAGGGGAAATAATAAATGCTTCAAAATGCTTTGAGTACCCCATTCTTAAGTTTTCATAACATCAGTGCAGAAACTATAGTGCCTGATGCATCTTAGTAAGACCGTATGAGCTCTTAATTTGGCTGAGCGATAGCGAAGCCTGTTACTCAGGTGGGGTTGAAAAATTTTTCCTGTCTGCGTGTGTGTGTGTGTGTGTGTGTGTGTCCGCGCTACTCCTCCTGAACGGCTCGGCCGATCTCGGTGAGATTTTGCACACTTTTTGAATATGTCCTTGGCTCAGCACACGCGAAATTTCACTATCCTAGCTCAACTGGTTCGGTTTTTATAGGGGTCATTCCATATAAGATTTACACGGATCTGGGTGACCTTTAACGATTTTGACCAAATTTGGCACAAAGGTAGCCCTTGTGGTCAGGAACATGCCCACAAATATTTAGGTCGATATCTCAAGTGGTTTCGTCAGAATCGGCATTTTAGTTTTTAACTCTTAAAAATCTTGTAATTTCTTCAAAATGGCTCAACAAGGCTATTTTTTGTCCGATTTTTATGCGGTAAAGCTTAAAATTCAGACGTAAAATGCGACGAGGAATCCGAATCTGCCCTCAGATTTGGTCTAGAGTGATTACCAGTGGAGTAAATTGCGAAAAACATGAAAATGAAGCCATATTTCACGAGCCTGCGTACCCTAGTAGAAAATCCAAATCTGCACTTCCGACCAAGCTAAATTGTAGTTCAGTTTATGGGCTTTCCATATCTGTATTCAAAAATAGTGGGTGTGGCCCTCCCTTAGGAGCTGTAGGCCGCAATAAACAACTCTGCACTCAAATTTTAGCTAAGCAAAATACACATTTTTGAGCTTTATAGCTCAGGGTGATAAGCTACACGCATGCCGCTTATACCATTCGAAAGGGAATTTTAAGACGGATCCAACGGTACTAATAGGAACCCTATCGGGTAAGTGGATGCCAAACTTCGCCAAAATGCCGCTAAAACTCAAAATTTGCACTACAAGTTTTTCCAATTAAGAAAATAAGTAAACGGCAGCATTTTAACTTGTCAAATGTGTACTCACTTACTCGAAATTTCGTAAGCTTTCGATTGGTATATAGAAAAAGTTGGGTTTCGGCCTCTAAACACAAGAATTCTCAATTTTATTGAACCTGTGCGCGCGAATCGGCTGAGACGCCCCGTGAAGGTGGGCAGCCAATCCGGCGCGCAGTCTTTCCGTCTCTCTTGGGATGTCTAGCTGTACCCGTACTATCCCTCGCCCTACCCCGCCCCCCTCCCGCAACCTGCCCTGATGGAATTGGCCTAAATAGGTGTCAATCCACTCAGGATGACCCCCTGAGTCGCTCTGCAATTTTTTTTTGCAACTCCAAACCGTTTAGATTCTATAGCGATTTGAAACTTTTGTCAACTTTGAATGTCGCATTCCTTGGCCACTTGGCATTTGTAATGAGAAAGGGACCAGCCAGGTTTTATTGGCTTACCTGTGGACTATTGTACCCATAAAAGTAATAAAATTAGGAAAAAGATGAAAAACTTGGAAGTATTTTAAAAAAATGATTTAAACTTCACAAAAATAGAGCTTACAAAAATAGGTGGTCCTTCGATATTGGTGATACTTGGTTCAGAGCTCACCTACCCTTAGTCGAACAAGCCCACAAAATTTCAGGTCTGGCCCAGCTTTTTATCTATTGATCGGTCCACATTTTATACCTTAAGACCCTATTTTGGTATTGTAACTTGAACAGCATGAGCCAAGAGTGTTCGTATTAAATCTAAGAATCACTTTTGATATCTTGGGTTGAAATCTTGATAAGGTTTTAAAATGAAGCAAGGAGAATACTTAGTTTGGAAAGGTTACTTCCATATGGCAGAAATAGTCTGCGTAGATATATTTTTCTCATTATCTCCATGATATCAACATAGAGGCTTAACAATTGAATATATGTCATAGGAAAAGAAATGTCTTATTTTAATGAATGTTTGGGGTATATGCCTGAGCTCAAAAGATTTAAACCTAACGGAAGTACTTTTGGCTCATGCCGTTCAAGTTACGATACCAAAATAGGGTCTTAAGGTATAAAATGTGGACCGATCAATAGATAAAAAGCTGGGCCAGACCTGAAATTTTGTGGGCTTGTGGGCCCCAAACATTCATTAAAATAAGACATTTCTTGTCCTATGACATATATTCAATTGTTAAGCCTCTACGTTGATATCATGGAGATAATGAGAAAAATATATCTACGTAGACCATTACTGCCATATGGAAGTAACCTTTCCAGACTAAGTATTCTTGCTTCATTTTAAAACTTTATCAAGATTTCGACAGATCGATTCCAGCTCAAAAGTGATTCTTAGATTTAATACTAACACTCGTGGCTCATGCCGTTCAGGTAACGATACCAAAATAGGGTCTTAAGGTATAAAATGTGGACCGATCAATAGATAAAAAGCTGGGCCAGACCTGAAATTTTGTGGGCTTGTTCGACTAAGGGTAGGTGAGCTCTGAACCAAGTATCACCAATATCGAAGGACCACTTATTTTTGTAAGCTCTATTTTTGTGAAGTTTAAATCATTTTTTTAAAATACTTCCAAGTTTTTCATCTTTTTCCTAATTTTATTACTTTTATGGGTACAATAGTCCACAGGTAAGCCAATAAAACCTGGCTGGTCCCTTTCTCATTACAAATGCCAAGTGGCCAAGGAATGCGACATTCAAAGTTGACAAAAGTTTCAAATCGCTATAGAATCTAAACGGTTTGGAGTTGCAAAAAAAAATTGCAGAGCGACTCAGGGGGTCATCCTGAGTGGATTGACACCTATTTAGGCCAATTCCATCAGGGCAGGTTGCGGGAGGGGGGCGGGGTAGGGCGAGGGATAGTACGGGTACAGCTAGACATCCCAAGAGAGACGGAAAGACTGCGCGCCGGATTGGCTGCCCACCTTCACGGGGCGTCTCAGCCGATTCGCGCGCACAGGTTCAATAAAATTGAGAATTCTTGTGTTTAGAGGCCGAAACCCAACTTTTTCTATATACCAATCGAAAGCTTACGAAATTTCGAGTAAGTGAGTACACATTTGACAAGTTAAAATGCTGCCGTTTACTTATTTTCTTAATTGGAAAAACTTGTAGTGCAAATTTTGAGTTTTAGCGGCATTTTGGCGAAGTTTGGCATCCACTTACCCGATAGGGTTCCTATTAGTACCGTTGGATCCGTCTTAAAATTCCCTTTCGAATGGTATAAGCGGCATGCGTGTAGCTTATCACCCTGAGCTATAAAGCTCAAAAATGTGTATTTTGCTTAGCTAAAATTTGAGTGCAGAGTTGTTTATTGCGGCCTACAGCTCCTAAGGGAGGGCCACACCCACTATTTTTGAATACAGATATGGAAAGCCCATAAACTGAACTACAATTTAGCTTGGTCGGAAGTGCAGATTTGGATTTTCTACTAGGGTACGCAGGCTCGTGAAATATGGCTTCATTTTCATGTTTTTCGCAATTTACTCCACTGGTAATCACTCTAGATAAAATCTGAGGGCAGATTCGGATTCCTCGGCGCATTTTACGTCAGAATAGCTTTACCGCATAAAAATCGGACAAAAAAAAGCCTTGATGAGCTATTTTGAAGAAATTACAAGATTTTTAAGAGTTAAAAACTAAAATGCCGATGCTGACGAAACCACTTGAGATATCGACCTAAAAATTTGTGGGCATGTTCCTGACCACTAGGGCTACCTTCGTGCCAAATTTGGTCAAAATCGTCAAAGGTCACCCAGATCCGTGTAAATCTTAGATGGAATGACCCATAGCCGAAAAACACCTAAAAAACGGCGAAAAATCGAGTTTTCTGCAGGCAGATCACTTCTGTCTTGAAGAAAGGGGGGTCTGGGGGGCGGGGCCCCCCAGCCTCGACAAGTTAAAAAGTCAGGCCAATGGGGGGTCTAGCCCCCCAGCCTCGACAAGTTAAAAAGTCAGGCCAATGCAGCCTTAGGCACGAAATCAAATGCTGGTTTGACCATCAATCACGCAAATTCGAGGGGTCCTATTCAAAAGATCTTATCTGGGCGTTCCCCCCAAGACAATCTTATCTTAAACGCCTGCAAATTTCACTCATTTTGATCAATCAGAATAAATACGACGGTAAGCGAAACATATTTCTACATGCACTTTTGGTTTCTTTGATCTCTCATCTTTAGATTTACTGTAACAAACTCACAAATTATATTGATATGTTGCTGTACCAAATGATCAAACTATGTGAAATTCACCTGCGTTTAAGATAAGATTGTCTTGGGGGGAACGTCCAGATAAGATCTTTTGAATAGGACCCCTCGAATTGGTGTGCGGATGCCCGGAAAAGAAACCTAGCCTGCCGAAGGCAGGCAAGCGCCGTAGGCCAAGGTAGGTGAAACGCCAGGCGTGGATTGTCGTAACTGGCGCAGCATCGCGAAGCCTGTTACGACAAGACACGGTCTGGCGTACACCTACCTTGTAAACCTTCATAAAGGCCTAAATAACACCGTACACAGTCATTCTACAGGGACCTACAGCTTTTGGCCTGGTTTCATCACTTTGCTAGCCAGGGGAAGGCCTTCGGCCTCGCTGCTGAGCTGGATTTAGCTGGAGATGGAAATTCATTTTCATCAGTAGAAAATTAAGAAGTGTTTATTTTGAAAATTATTATTGACCTCGGACTATTGGCTTCGGACTATGTGTATACATACATAGGTATAAGATTAAGATCAATAATAAGATACCCATAGTAAACTAAAGGTATCCGGGGGGGAGGCGGACAATTCGAACGTTCAAATTCCCCAACAGGGTGCTTCGCTTCGCTCAGCAAAGAAGCATATAACATTTTTAAGGATCATAAAAATGCCCAAGGCACATAATAAAAATTATTCACATTCACATAGCTGTTTACCAAACATTATGAAGTGTTATAATGTCAATAAAACACTGTTTTATGAGAGTTTTATAATTTTTTAAAATGAACGTACGGATATTAATACAAGACGGTGAAAACGGTTCCTGTTTCCTTCTTTTCCCCTCAGGAACTCCCTGAAGATTGCTTATGTCTTTACTGAAGACTTCCGAGGAATATCAGGGACCGTTTTTAACCGTGAAGTTGGTTTTACCTTAGTGCCGTGGTACGGCTCGCCCAGCTCCGAGTTGTTCTCCCACTTCTTGAAGTACGGCAGCACGTCCCTGTAGGCCCAGCCCGTGGCGCCGGCCGCCGCCCAGTTGTCGTAGTCGCGGGGGTTTCCGCGGGTGTACGTGCTGCCTACCGTGTAGCCCAGCCCCTTGCTGGAGTACTCGGAGCACCCCTGGCCGTCGCAGATACCCGCTTCCGGCTCCGCCATGAACGGCCAGCCTCTGCAGATGGAGGCGGATAGATAGGCCTATTACACTGCAGCGGGCAGCGGAAACAGTCTCACACTTAAAGGCGGGGGCCAAAATGTCTCCCCCCCCCCCCAAAAAAAAAGACAGGACAGAAAAAGTGTGGAACATATCTGGTCAATAATTTGCTTGGACCGTCCGTACCTGCTAACCACACTCTGAGAAAAAATGACGGTAAATCCTGGATAATTTTTTTGCCAAACTTTACCGTACTTCAAAAACCAGTATCCACCGTACAGTCCACAGTATTTACCGTACTTGTTTTACAAAATATTCCGTAGTCTTTTCACAGTAGTTACCGTTCTTCCGTACAGTCCATGCCGTAGGAACGACCAGATCTGGTCCCAACAAAGGCCGCTTCCAAGAATTGTCCACATCAGGATCTTGAAAAAAGGGGGTCGACCGACTGAAAAACTTTATTGCACCTTTCGATAGGTCTCGTCAAGACCTTTCCAACGAGTGGTCGGAAGGGGGTTCCAGGAGTCCGACTTCAGCAGTTGCGTACATCAGGAACTTGGAAAAAGAGGGTCAACCGACTGAACAAAACTATAGCAGTTTTTGATAGGTATTAAAAGTACGGGATCGCCGGGTCAAAATGTACGGGATTCCCTGTAAAAAAGTACGGTGTTTCCTGTATAAAAAAGTACGGTATTGCCTGTAAAAAAAAACGACGGAATTGCCTGTTAAAAAAGGTACGGTGAAGTCTGGAGTAATCAGTACAGGATTTACCGTGATCTTTTCTCGCAGTGTTCGATAGGTCTCGTCAAGACCTTTCCAACGAGTGGTCGGAAGGGGGGTCCAGGAGTCCGACTTCAGCAGTTGCGTACATCACGAACTTGAAAAAAAGAGGGTCAACCGACTAAACAAAATTGTAGCAGTTTTTGATTGGTATTAAAAGTACGGGATCGCCGGGTAAAAAAGTACGGGATCGCCGGGTAAAAAAGTACGGGATTCCCTGTAAAAAAAGTACGGTGTTGCCTGTAAGAAAAAGTACGGTGTTGCCTGTAAAAAAACGACGGCATTGCCTGTTAAAAAAAGTACGGTGAAGTCTGCAGTAATCAGTACAGGATTTACCGTGATCTTTTCTCGCAGTGTACGAAACTTTTGCACCTTCTTCGACACCCGCTCACGTGAGTTCATGTGAAACAAGCACTATACGGACGTTCCGTACTACATTCTGTACATTTTCCGTATTGAAGTATGATTTTTTTTTGGCTGAGCGATAGCGAAGCCTGTTACTCCAGTGGGGTTGAAAAGTTTTTTCTGTCTGTCTGTGTGTCTGTGTGTCCGCACTACTCCTCCTGAACGGCTAGGCCGATCTGGGTGAGATTTTGCACACTCTTTGGGTATGTCCTTGGCTCGGCACACGCGAAATTTCACTACCCTAGCTCAAATGGTTCAATTTTTATAGCCAAAAAACACCTAAAAAACGGCGAAAAATCGAGTTTTCCGCAGATAGATCACTTCTGTCTTGGCGGAGCCCCCCAGCCTCGACAAGTTAAAAAGTGACAAGGGTCAAGATCGTGTTATTGGCTGAGCGATAGCGAAGCCTGTTACTCCATTGGGGTTGAAAAGTTTTTCCTGTCTGTGTGCGTGCGTGTGTGCGTGTGTGTCCGCACTACTCCTCCTGAACGGCTCGGCCGATCTCGGTGAGATTTTGCACACTTTTTGGGCATGTCCTTGGCTCGGCACACGCGAAATTTCACTATCCTAGCTCAACTGGTTCAGTTTTTATAGCCGAAAAACACCTAAAAACGGCGAAAAATCGAGTTTTCTGCAGGCAGATCACCTCTGCCTTAGAAAGGGGGGGTCTGGGGGGCGGAGCCCCCCAGTCCCGACAAGTTAAAAAGTCACAAGGGATCTAGAATGAAGGGGAGTCTGGGGGGCGGAGCCCCCCAGCATGCATCAAGTAAGAAGTAACCGACGATGGACAAGCCATTGCCTGCCGAAGGCAGATTAGCGCCGCAGGCCAAGGTAGGTACGCCAGGCGCGGATTGGAGGAACAGGCAGCGAGACATCGCGAAGCCTGTTACGACAAGACGCGGTCTGGCGTAAACCTACCTTGTCTGTAGATAAAACAACGCTATTTAGAATGTAGGGGGGTCTGGGGGGCGGAGCCCCCCAGCATTCAACAAGTTAAAAAATAACCAACAATGGACAAGCCATTGCCTGCCGCAGGCAGGCTAACGCCGCAGGCCGAGGTAGGTACTTACGCCAGGCGCGGATTGGAGAAACAGGCATCGAGACATCGCGAAGCCTGTTACGACAAGACGCGGTCTGGCGTAAACCTAGGGTAAGGTGCCCAGTGATGGCCATGGTACCAGTGATGGCCACTTTAGAATATGCACTGACTTCTCGTCCACGCGGGAGAAGTTAAACTGTAGACCTTTTGGGGTTTTGTACCCTTACCTTTTAGCAACACAACACCGCAAAAATTTCGTCTCGTTTCTGTCGTGGGCGGCCGCACAGGCTCAGCGCAACGAATGCTGCGTTGACATGTTTTGTTCATTTTGTAGAGCTGAGATAAAATCAGTAATCGCAGCGTTTCTTTCGCAGATTTGGAACTTTTACTTTATTTCTACCTGATTACTGTCAAAAACGGAAGCACAGAGCTACTCCCCTCTGAAATCCTAACCTAGCCATCACCGAGCAGGGCACAGGCCATCACTAAGCAAAGGGTGGCCATCACTGGGCAAACTGCACTGATATTTTGGTTACTCTTTTCGCAAAGACAGAGTTAAATTTTCCTCCTTTTCAGACTGGCGAACCTTTACTCTATCCTTCTTTTATGCTCCTGAAAATAGCCCAAACGGTACGACGATTGAGAGACTTCGTAAGCGGGTGAAAGGCGCATCTGTGCGCTAAAAGTGGCCATCACTGGGCACCTTACCCTACCTTGTTTTAAACAGAGAGCGTACACTGAAAAAACAAATGCGGAGAATTCCGCATTTGAAATGCGGTTAAAGTAAGTGACCGCATGAAGTGATGCGGTCACCTGAATAGCCAGGATTTTGATGCAATTTCACCGCAGGAGTCATGCAGTGTAAAATTTAACCGCATTTCCTGATGCGGTTTCCATTTTGACCGCATGAACTGATGCGGAGTCCTACATTTCATGACAGCTAAACAGCTAGCGGCTGCTACCAACTTTCCGTCTCTTACTGGACAACCAGAAAAGGATGGCATGTACTGTGCCTTCTCATTTACTTCTGATGCTTATCATTGACTAACCAACACATACCTTTGACGTTAATTTTTGTAACGCTGCGATGAGTAAATATCCTGTGTTTGAAACAGCAAGCCACGGAATAATAATTTTGTCTGTATAAAATGTTGATTGACACTGGATATTGTTCCAAATGCAGTATCAAACTATTGTTATTCATCACTTTAAATTATTTTTAGCCTCAAACTTCTTGGTGATAGCATTACTAGTTTCCATGAGCCAGGCTATGCTGTATGCTGGTAAGGTTAAACCCGCCGGCTGCTTGACTGAAGAATTGTCTGTGCTGCTGTATTTGAACAAGTCAACGCACACGACGCACTACAGCATTTCTTTGATTGAGGTTATTTCATAATTTCAGGGTCTGAGTCATTCCAAACCATTGTAAGAACGTTTTTAAAGGAATAATCTTTCAAATCATACTCTGACACTGTCACACACAATCAACAACAAAATAAATAAGATAAACAAAAACAAAGGAGTGCCAACATAAGAAAATAACATCATATGAGTCAGAAAGTAAACTATAAAGTTGTTCTTTTGTGTGAGTCGTTCATCAAATTTTAAGCTTTAATAAACATACCATTCCCTTAAAAATCCCTAATATACATCCAAAGCTGGCTTTACTTTAACGCTAACACGTTCTCAAGCTCTTAGGTTGGCCCTACCATCTTCTTGTTGTTAGGTTTGTTTTGTTGTTCACTATGAAAGTGTGTGTCTTGAACTTTCTTTGTGTGAAAAAAAAACGAATTTTCAATAGTTGTGGATGTTTCAAAGCATAAAATTATGAATATTACTAAAAAACAGTTGTACTGTAGTGCTTCGCATGTGTTGACATGCTTCTATATTGCAGTATTGAAAATATTTCTGCCAAAGCAACCCGGTCACTTAACCTCAACCTAGCCCTGGGCTGGACAGCATTGGATACCTCAGTGCTGTTCTCACCGAAGATTGCCGAGGACTTGAAAGATAAAAATAATTTTGAATTGTGTTTTCAAATTGTGTGACAATTCATCGCTAACAATATGCAGTTTCAATCATGGGTTTTTATTTAAAAAAAACTACTGCTTTTTAATGAGGCTGATCGCTGTTAACTTTACGCTCATCTCAGCGTTACAAACATCTACATGACAGAATGACAGGTATGTACTGGTTTCCCAAATAATATTGTTTAAGAAGTAAATGAGATGGCCAAGTAAACGTAACCGCTTTGAGGATGGACTGGGAAGGGAAGTTGCCACTGCTGTAGATATCGTGGGATCTTGAAATCCACCTAAACTAATGCGGTCAAAACTGAGACCGCATCAATTTGGCACACTCCGCATGAGTAAATGAAGTCAATCTTCTCCGCATCAGTTAGTGCGGTCAAATTGATAGAAAATTACACCGCACCAGATTGTGCGGAATCCTCCGCATTTGTTTTCTCAGTGTAAACCGGTGTGAACTTACACTTCCTACTGTGGGACACTAGGACAATAGTATATTGGGATTCTGGCTTCCGATGAATCTTTCGTCGTCCCAGTACACACTCTTTCTAGGAACGTGCCAACGTTGAAACGAATGTGACAAAATGCCACGTTCCTTGGAGCATTGCGTTACATTCGTTTGAATGCGAATCTGCCATAAATTGTCTCATTCACGTTCAAACGAATAAGACACAATGCTCAAAGGAACGTGATATTTTGTCACATTCCTTCCAACGTGATGTCACATTCCTGGAATGTGAGTGTACTTCCAAAGTTAAGAGTCCTAATGTCCGACTCACTCTCCAGTGGAGTTGCTTCCCGCCTCGAGCAGCAGTACGCGCCAGGTGGTGACTTCCGAGAGGCGGTGGGCCAGCATGCAGCCCGCCGTTCCAGCGCCCACCAGCACCACGTCGAAAGTCTCGCTGTCGGCGGACTGTAGGTGTCCGCGTGCGGACGGGGCGGCGCAAGCCATCGCCAGTAGCAGCAGCAACATTGGATCCATGGCTGCACTGTCATTATGTGAGCCAAAGAAGTTGTAAGAAAAAAAGTACCTCAAAAAGGCTCTTTTATCGGCAACAAAATAAGAAATGGTTGTACCAAAACATCGCAATAACAAAATTATTCTACCCCAGGGTGCGATAAATCGTGGAAATTGCAAAGTCTGTTATCGGCAATTTATACTAGAAGTATATCTCAATGAATAACACACATTAAATTACTATGTAGGTTTTTCTGCGCGCTAATGCACAAAATTAAACATGCACTGTCAGTATAGCGAGTAGGTTTGAATCCCCGCGCTCAGGGAGGAACTCGCGTCGCTAGCGGAAATGCTAGCTCAGCCCTTAGCGGCTGGCTCGCCAGGGCCTCCACGGCTCTGGCGAGCGACACGCAAGTCAGACGTGTCACGGCCTTCGGCTCGATCGCATCGTTAGAGTAAGTACTTGGTGGCTGGGCCCAGAAACCTAAAATCTAGTGTTCTTTGTTCTACCCTTCACTCCCATCTGAACTACACTCAGCCAGGGTTTGTCGTACAATAGTACACCTCCGTATTGGATTTCACTCAAATACGGCAGGCCCTGACTTGCACTTCGTAACGCACTTATTTGTGCACGACAATGCACGATTTTCTGCATACTTGCGCACGAAATCATGCATTGTCGCGCACAAATTCGTGCGTTACGAGATGCATGTTTAATTTCGTGCATTAGCGCGCAGAAAAACCTACATAGTAATTTAGTGTGCAGTGTGCAACACGCCAGACCATTTTCCGACAAAGGGAACATTATTGATTCCCTTGATGCCTTACGAAGACGTGTCGAATTCACTGAATAAGTACGTATATTTTTGTGTATTGCTTTTGCACAATCACTCGCCTTCTTTACCCGAATCTTGGCACTCCCGGTCACACCGATGTCAAACGAAGCCGATTGAAGCACCGTGCGGCCGGACGCGCTTTTAGTCTGGTGGAGGGGCAGCATTTGACGTGGTCGTGACCGTTGGGCCCACGAACGTCAAACCCTCACGGTGGTCGCTTATCGAAAAATGAAACTTTATCTCGGTACACGGAACCGGGTTTTCCCAGGAACTGCCTGGAATCGCCTATGTCTCTACCATAGGCTTCCTGGGAAAACCAGGTTCCGTTTTCACCGTGTACAGTCTCTCATACTTAATTACTAACATAAGTAGTTTTTAGCGCATGAACGTTGCATAAAATTGTGCATGCGTTTTAAAATGCATGAATTTGTGCGTACACTGAGAATGAAAGAGTCACCACCATCACCCTTTCATTGGGTAACGCACGCACCGTTGCCCAAATTTGGGTGACGAGCCCGCGGTGACCAAATTTTGGGCAGTCATAAAATCGTCCCCCAAATTTGGGTAACGCCGTCGGCGACGCCGTAAGGTCCCCGATGACGCTCTTCCGGGGCCACCACGATGACCCAATGTGGCGTTGAGGCCTCGGTCATCGTGGTGGCCCCGGAAGGACGCCATCGGGAACCTCAGATCGTCGCCGACGGCGTTACCCAAATTTGGGCGACCAAACGCCTGTTACCCAATTTCGGGTGATGAATTTTTCGTCACCAAAATTTGGGCAACGAAGTTGCATCACCCATTTAAAGGGTGATGGTGGTGACCAATTCATTCTCAGTGTAACTGAGCTAGAAAGTGTGCATTGTCACTGATAGCTCTAATGTGATAAAGGCTAATGCGATCCCTTCAAATTATCGCATCCATGGCAACAATAAAAAGATTATCGCGTTGAAAATTCAATAAGTCTCTCAGGTTTCGGCCCAGATTATGTCACAGTTTTGGTGTGATAAAGTGTCTACGCTGGAAAAGTGATAAATACTCTAATGCAACAGATGCAATAACTTTTTCATGGCGCTAATAATGCAATAAAACCGCTATTGCTTTTGAAATAAGTTCATTATTACACTTACGAAACTAGTGGTTGCGCACGAATTCGAATTCGTGCGTTTGACGCGCATGCCCAATTCTGTGCGAAAACTGAGTACAAGAATACTACGTAGGTAGTGACTTAGTGTGCTCAAAACTTATTTTAAGGACCACGTACGTTCAGATTGCCTACGTTTAAATAATTAGGTTTATTTTTCTAATGCTGCTGCCCCGTTGTGGGCCGTTCGCACATAGTCGCCGCCCGTTAAAGTGATAATCAGGTTCCGTCTCGGACTAGTTTTCAATTCACTTGACGACCACGGCAGGGTGCAGCACTTAACACATTCCCATTTTGCGCCGTCTGCAGCCTACGAGGAACTTCTTCGCAGCCGCACTCCCAATATCCTACTGAGCTTTTTCACTCGTTCTTTACACACAAACAAATGAAAAGTGGTATAGCAAAGAGAACGAGTATTTTGCTCAAATTTTTTTTTGAGAGGATATCATTTATCTCAGAACTTACAACATGTACAGAAAAGACAATGGTATCATTTTTAAGTGCAGAAGTCCGTCAGTAAATCGTAAACGGATTGTTTTTCGACTTTCAATGGAAAATTTTGAGAAAACGAACATGTTAAAAACGAGATTTTGGGGCCGGTGTCGAAACTAACCTCATTTCAACCTCTTATATCTTTTCACCAATAATGGTACCCTTTAATTAACCATTACGAACATGAACTCCTACATTCAGTTAATTTAAAACCGGGAATGTTTTTTGTCGCGCACAATGATAAATTCGGAGAAATATCAGGTTAAAGATCGTGTTGAATGAGCATGTTCTGCAAGTGCACCAAACTCAGCATAAGTTTACATCCACATTTACATGTTGCAGGCTGCTGTTCAATATACCATAATACTGCCGACATATGTCATTTTATTTTGGTTGTGGACTGTTTTTGCAGATTGTTGTTGTTTTCGCATGGAACGTGGTATGTAAATATCATGTTCACAGCGTAGTCGCCAAGATGTTCTAGGCACTCGGAAGAAATGTGGGGTTCAAGCGGTGGTAGCGTGGTCAAGTGGGTATATTAATTGGTTCATGATGCATTATTTGAATGCAAACACTTTTTTGGTTAGGTGGCATTGGCATCGACAATTTACATTGCATTGATTTTATCATGTGGTACAAAAATGTGACAAAATCAGTGAGACTGCGCACGCCACAGCTCGCCAGCACGTTACAGCAACATGCCACCACACCACATATCTTCCCAGAGACAAACAACTCAACCACTGTTGTAGTGAAGGGCAGGATTCACAGGGGGGAAACATGATGCATCAAGGGGAACATGATCTAGATCTTCAAATAAATAACAACAATAGAATAAAAACGATAGAAAAACAATTGGATCCAAATTAGGGTGCTCGAGCAAGTTGATTACAATGTCCTTTTTTGATTACACCAGAAATGGAAACATGGTAGTGCGTGGGGCCCAAGGCACGTACGATTACTCCATTAAGAACTGGGTGACGTTTAGATAGTTTTACAATAACAGGATCTCCTTCTCTAAAAGCTGCGAGAGAGGAGGACAATCTGGAATCAGGTCTAATACTTGGATTAATGACAGTAAGAGGGGTCCTTGTTTTAAATGAAAGCAACATTTCATTAGGCGATTTATGAGTGACTGTTGAAGGAATATTCCTATAATCAAAAAGGAATTTGCTTATGGTTAGTTCCAGGGGTTCGTCAGTACCCGCATTCTCTGGAAATAACTTAGCTAATGCAGACTTAGCAACTCCAACAGACCTCTCAGCCAAACCATTGGATTCCGGATGATACGGAGGGATTCTTTTGGAAGTGATAGACAGAGAGGTACAAAACTCTAAGAACTCTGCTGAGTCGAAAGGAGCTCCGTTGTCTGACACAAGAATTTCAGGCAAGGTTGCAAACATAGCAAAAATAGAAAACATGACATTGATGATAGTCTCTGCTCTGAGATTGGGAACTACTTGAATATGTAGCCACTTAGAGTAGGCATCAACAAAAATCAGACATTCAACCCTCTTTACTTTTAAAAAGAAAAAATCAATATGAACCCGTTGGAAGGGAAATTTTGCTGCCGGCCATGGAACAAAATTCTCCTTAGGTTTAAAATTCACCTTAGCACACACATTACAAGAATCACAAAGCACCTCAATGTCAGAATTTAAAGAGGGCCACCATACCAGGGACCTTGCTAACAGTTTAGTACGAACAACTCCTGGATGACCTTGGTGGAGCAAACTCAAAACTTTAGACTGTAAAGACAGAGGTATGACAACTCTAAGTGCAAACATTAAACATTTGTTATGAATACTAAGTGAATCTCTTACTTTAAAAAATTTCTCTAAAACAGGGTTGTCTGAAAACTTATTATATGATGGCCAACCAGCCACAGTAAGCTCACAAACTTTGGACAATAAAGGGTCCGAAGCAGTAGCTACACTAACACAATCAGCAGACAAGGGTAAATCAGGGTAAATCACATGAACACAAGAATCGTTAACTCCAGCTTTGACAGGAAGGCGGGAGAGAGCATCAGCCACAGTGTTGAGCTCAGACTTACGATGAACAAGTTTATAACTATAAGCCTGCAGCATGGTTGCCCAATGCTGTAAGCGATGGCCAGTTCTAACCGGCAAGGACTTGTCTTCATGAAAGATGCGAGCGATAGCAGCATTATCAGTAACTAACGTGAACTCTCTAGCCCACAAGAACCTATGACAACGATCAACAATAGTGAACAATAGCTAAAGCTTCTCTATCTACCTGGGCATATGCCATTTGGGTTGGAGACAATGTTGCAGAGATAAACATGACAGGTCTTTCGACTTTTTTACCATTAACTTCAACAACATGTGCTAACACACCACCAATGCCTACAGGACTAGCATCTACAGACACAACTATTGGCAAATCTGGGTCATAATGCATCAAACACTCCGAAGAAGTTAACATATTTTTTAACAAGTCAAATGACACTTGACACTCTACATTCCAATCATACTTATCACCATTAAGGGACCTTAAAGGTTTAGCAACAGTACTAAGATTGGGTAAGAACTCTGCATAAAAGCTTAACATTCCTAGGAATGTACCAATTTGGGCACAATTGACAGGGGGTGCAAAATCAACAATGGCGGAAACCAAGGAAGGGTTTGGTTTTCTACCTTCTTTAGAAATCACAAAACCAAGATACTGAAGTTCAGGTACGAACCAATCACACTTGTCCAACCTTAGTCGAACATTGTGTTTCTCTAGTCGAGCTAGGACTAGCATAGTATTGTTAACACAATCAGACAAGCTTACACCCTTAATTAAAATATTATCTAAATAACGGGTAACACCAGGCAAATTTATTAAAATCCTATCCATCACAGACTGAAAAATTGCAGCAGCACTCGCTACTCCATAGATCAAACGAGTTAACTTAAATAAACCCATGTGGGTATTCAACACACAAAGATCTTGAGACTTAGGATCTAACTGCAACTGCGTATAAGCATCAGACAAATCGAGACTAGTAAAGAACACACCATTAGACAGGGTAGCAAAAACAGTATCGGGTCTAGGCAGGGGATAATAATCAATGCGTAACTGAGGATTCAGTGTCCGCTTAAAATCAGCACAATAACGAATAGTACCATCCTTCTTTTGAACTACAACACCTGGAGAAGCCCATTCGGACTGTCTGACACGAATGGCTTTACCCAAAAGGACTAAATTATCCAAGTGTTTGCTGACTTTATCTAACAAACCAAAAGCTACATTATAGGCTTTAGCAAATACAGGAATTGCATTGGGTTTTAGAACTAAAGTGGCAGTGAACCCTTTTATGACTGAATCTGCCTTAGAATCAAACACTGATGGGAATAACACTCTTAACTCCTCTACTGACGGAGGATTGCAATCATTTACAACATTAATTTGATTTTGTACTAAAACAGACCTCCAATGAGGAAGGATCACATCAAGCCAATTCCTACCCAATAAGGGTGTGAAATTGGGGGTATTATCACAGACGATGAAACTTAATTTATGACAGACATGATTAAAATTTACATCTACAGTCACCTCTCCTGCGTTGGCTATCATTCCATTGACGGAATGTAAAATAATCTTGGATGGAACCAAGGTAAGATATCTGAAGGTACTCCTAAATTGAGCTCGGGACATGACAGTTGCGCCAGCTCCTGTATCAACTTCAAATTGGATGGACTTTGTAGCTACATTAAGACTGATAAGGAGGGGCGGATTACTTTTGACAGCACCAACAGATACAAAGACATTGTGCACAGAGACAAAATCATAAAAGAGGACTTTAAAAACAAATAGGCACAATAAAAGACATAGCCAACAAATCATGATTATTGGCTGAGCGATAGCGAAGCCTGTTACTCCAGTGGGGTTGAAAAGTTTTTCATGTCTGTCTGTCTGTCTGTGTGTCTGTGTGCACTACTCCTCCTGAACGGCTCGGCCGATCTCGGTGAGATTTTGCACACTTTTTAGGTATGTTCTTAGCTCGGCACACGCAAAATTTCACTACCCTAGCTCATCTGGTTCAGTTTTTATAGCCGAAAAACACCTAAAAAACGGCCAAAAATCGAGTTGTGTGCAGGCAGATGCCTTCTGTCTTGAGGAAAGGGGGGTCTGGGGGGCAGGGCCCCCCAGCCTTGCCAAGTTTAAAAGTTTCAAGGGTCAAGATCGTGTGATCTGAGGGGCGTCTGGAGGGTGGAGCCCCCCAGCATGCAACAAGCTGGAAGAAACCGACGATGGACAAGCCATTGCCTACCGAAGGCAGGCTAGCGCCGCAGGCCAAGGTAGGTGTAACGCCAGGCGTGGATTGTCGAAACTGGCGCAGCATCGCGAAGCCTGTTACGACAAGACACGGTCTGGCGTACACCTACCTTGTTAGTGTGGATACACTGATTAAAACAAATTAAAACAATAAGACATAAGACGCCAGGAGGGTGACTACTAACCTATTAACAGAAGGAGCGGAGCTTGAAGACGTTTTGCACTTCTTGCTCAATTAACTCCGTCTGAGGCCCAGACTGAGACTCTTGCTTAGGCTCCTCTGTTCCCACTGAGTTGACACGATCGCTCGGGCAGTATTTACTCGTATGGCCCATTAGGTTGCACTTGAAACATTTCCAGTTCCGTGCGGGGCAGGTGTGGCAATTGTGCTTCCGACCACACCGTCGGCAAGGACCAAACTTGGGACGCTGACCTTGACTCGGAGACTGACGTTGGCCTTGACTTGTTGACTGACCTTGACCACGCCGTTGATTGCTGCTGGACTGACGACTGGTAGTCGGACTGGAGTTGGGGTTCTGCGGCTTCTTGGCACGGGGTTTGGGTTGACTGTTCACCCGGCCGACGTGTACAGCGTTCGCCAGAGCCTGGGACTGCCTCCGGATTGACTCGTCCTGGATAGCAATGTTCTTGGCATTAGCAAACTCAAGGTCAACTTCTGCAAGTAGTTTGCGACGACATTCGTCGCTCCTGATCCCGCGCACTAGTTGGTCACGTAACATCTCGTTCAGGTTGTTGCCGAAGTTACACTTGCTCGCCAAGTCTTGCAGCGACGCGATGTACTCGTGGATGGACTCATTGGGTTTCTGAGTACGACCATTGAACTCCATTCTCATGACAGGGACCAATTGAGGAGATTCAAAACGCTCCTTTAGTCGTTGGACATGGAAAGGGATCGACCTCTCATTTGGCAACAGGGGCAGACTAGCCATACGTAAGATTTCAAAGTTACGTTGACCGATGCATTTGAGAAACCATGACCGCCTGTTGTTGACGGGGTTTGGCTGTCCAGCGGGGGGTTCGGCCGGTTCCGCTAGGATGTTGGACAAGCGGCAGAACTCGCTAAATACTTGTAGCCATCCGTCCATTGACACTGATGCAGGATCGTATGCATCCGGGACGGGTACAGTAGGCGCGACAATGATGAGTGGCGGCGCCTCTGCCATGATGGATGCTGTGATCTAACCTTCTCAACGACACGTGGGACACTCAGATGACAGATGAAACTCTTCTCGAAGGTGGATCCTCGTCGCCAATATGCTGTCCGGGGTTGGTGGTACAGCCGTGAGTTCTCGAGAGAATCGTCCAAGTCGGAAGGAGAAGTGACCCATAAGACGGTTCGTGTGCAACTGGTTTATTGTCGACTTAAAATCTTTCACACTGACAGTTTACATGGTTTTCCGGAAGGGGGCGCTAGTGGCGCGAGATCTCGAATATCGTTCGAGTATCGAACACGATAGTAATGCGAACAAAAAGCTTAGTATTATGACTGCACAGCAATGGTAGTAATAGACGGTGAAGAGTCAGTATCTTATGACCAGCTTCTGCCAAATACGAACAAATTTCTCTTTATTATGACATATTTGTGTCGTAAAGTACTGTGAATTAGCTCAGTAAAATTATGCTTGAGTCAAGTATTATGACTGCACGGAATTCATCAGTAGGAAATTGGGAGTGTGCGAAGGATTTTCCCTTTGTGTTCCAAAGTAGTTTTATTAAACTATTTCTTCCGCGGGCTGCGAAGCCGCCGTTTTCTTCGAATTACGAAGAGCGCTCTTTGCAGGTGTGTACCAGTGTACCGCCCCCGACCGCACCGCCGCCCTTCCACTAACCGTCGTCATTTTCCGAGAAAACCCGTGACGTGCCAGAAGACTCACGTTTCTCATAACATCACAATTTTGTGTGTTTCGTGTCACCTGGCCTGTCGTTAAACCAGGGAAAGCCATCACCTTTAGGCTGAGCCAAAGTCGTCGGTTTTAAGAAGTTGAAAGAAAAGAGTTATATTTCTATCGATAATTCTCACTTAATGCTCCGAAGAAAAAACAGCCGTATTACCTATGTTTATACGACACACACATTTCGCTGGCAGGAAAAAAAAAGCACAGTGAAGGTAAGGAACTTTTTCAATAATGTTGGTCACTAGGTCAATGATATGACTAACCTTACGAAACTTCGGTACGTTTTTCGGAACCCGTCTGCATGAACTCATGGAACAAGTGCGGACGCTTCGTACTTTTTTCCCTACTTCCATACATGATCTTCTGTACATTTTCCGTACAAAAGTGCGTAATTTTTACAAAGAAATTGAACCATTTCAAGGAGGTATTACGATTGTTGGGCTGCGATCTAATTCAGGTTGAAAGTACACTAAAAACTGCTCAGTAATAGCTCTAATTATTTATTTAAAAATAACACTCAAATGAATTTGTGGTTGAGAAAACCGACATATAAGATCAACTTAACAAATAACAGTGTGCATGTACATATCGCAACGCACCGGCCGTCTACAAGAGACTGATCAGGAAATTAAAATAAACAAGCGACACGCATACAGCAGCTTGAGAAGAGGAGAGACGACTCGGGCGTCATAGGGCGTTGGGTACGTCGAAGTCCACTGCTTCCAGGTCAGACGAAGCTGCGGACAAATTGCCAGGTTAGAGGAAATAACTTCGGCCGAAATTTTAGACAAAAGTGCACCAAAAATTCAAAAGTCATTAAAATTGATCGAAATTCTTCCCATTATTAAAAAGTTTCTGCCTGATTTGTTTTGAAATTCAAATAAAACGCATTTAATTTGTACGCCGAAATCTAAAAAAACTCTCCTTGCGTATAGATATATACACTCTTAAAAGCCTACGAAGCATTTGCTTCATAACTACAAAGAAAATGAAGGCATTGTAGAATTGCTTTGTATTATGAAGAAAAGCTTCGTATTACAAAGGATTTTGCTTCATAATACGAAGCACTTCTTCGTAGATTTTACAATGCCTTCGTTTTCTTCGTATTGCGAAGCGATTCTTCGTAGAGTTTTTACTGTGTATGTTCCAATGTACTTCAACGACGACACTGAAAACTTATGTGTGTACTCGGTACACACTTGCAGCATGTGTACTCAGAACTCACTTTTAGTGTTCTGTGTGACAACTCAGCACACAAGGGTAGACCAATTAATTAATTAATAGTTCGGCTGATTGCAAGGGTTTCAACCCCACCCGGGTAACAAGCTTCTATATCACTCTGCCAATTGTGACAATTTATTGTCAATTGGCAAAAAGTGCCCAGCGCGAGCTGGGTGTGCTGATGCTGAGTATACCGTCTTTTAGTGGAAAGGGGTGTTGCAGAGGCCTACGGAAATGGCTCATTCTAGGGAGAGGTACTCAATATTGTGCCCCTACGGTGTAATTGGGAGTGTAGATTGGCTGAGCAATGCTACCCGCAAGACCACAATACTGACTCTTAGGATAATTTCGTGAGGGGTTAATTAAGGACTCGGGGATTCACTTAAGGTTAGACCACCAAGTACTCACTGACGGAAGGTGTTGTCCAGTCGGGGGCCGAGACACGTCTGCCTGTCGCGCTCGCGCGGCCCTTCAAGCTGGCCGGCGGCGCGACTGCTGATGCAGCGCGTCGCTGCTTCGACTTTCCGGCCCGCGCCTTTTAAACTCCGGCGCTCCCCCGACAGAGGTGCAAAAAGTTTTTTGTGGTCAGCATTTTTGATTACAGGAAGGTCCAAGCTAAGTTTAAAGCCAACGAGAGCCACTACACTCTTAAAAGCCTACGAAGGATTTGCTTCATAACTACGAAGAAAATGAAGGCATTGTAGAATTGCTTCGTATTACGAAGAAATGCTACGTATTACGAAGGATTTTGCTTCATAAAAGGAAGCATTTCTTCGTAGATTTTACAATGCCTTCATTTTCTTCATATTACGAAGCGATTCTTCGTGGAGTTTTTACTGTGTACAAATGAAAGCTTCGAAGTTAAATAAACTCTTGAGACAAGAAAGTGACTGTCACCAACAGATTCGATTTTAGTTGCTCTTCCCAGATCTGGTCTCGCGGATTTGGTCTACAATGCATATTGCCGACACAATCCACCATCAGGGTTGCGTGTGCAACAAATTTGAATTAAAAGGTTTTCTCCATGCCTCTGCCCCTCCGGCCGCATAAAAAAACATAAACGAAACTTAGGACCGGTCATGAACTAGTACCTTAGGGATGACAAACCCTGATAAGAAGAAATCGGTGACTAGGATGGCAGAGGCCTTGCCGACGTGGCCTGGAATGATCGTTTGGAATACAAACGATTTTCTTTGTAATACAAGGGAAAAATCCTTCGCAGGCTGCGAAGAACTTCTTCGTAGCCTACGAGGGATTTTTCCTTAGTATTACAAAGAAAAACGTTCGTATTACAAACGATTCCCTTCGCAGGCTGCGAAGCCACCGTTTTCTTCGTATTACAAAGAGCAGTTCTTTACAGGAATTTATCTGTGAATAGTTTGTACCTTGCTTAAAACACTTCGCAAGGTTTAGCATGCGTGCACACTCTTCAGCTGGCTGCACGAACTGAGCCTCACCTTTCTACTGCCTCTCGACTTTGTGGTAACACATGACGTCAAACAGCAGAACTTGCGCAGCCTGGGGAAACTCTTTCATGCTGGTCTTCCCGGCCCACGCGTCCGAGCCAAGCTGCACCTTCATGTCCACCACAGCCCCGCCGTCGGCAATGAGCTGCAGCCAGTCTGCTAGGTACTGGTCACGCTGCAGCGTTTCGTCCACTAGCTTCATGGTGTCACCCAGACTCGGGAAGCCGGGTGCGTTCAAAGCATCCTGCGACACAAAACACGCTTCGGTGAAATAACTATGCACTCGAGAAACCTTACAAACAATTTGAGGATTTTCGCACACTAAATTCTTATGGCCTTTTTTATGCATAGTTATGCATTCACAGATACGTCCATACGATATGTACAATAATATCCATCACTGTGTACATTTTAAGCAGGAAGATGCATAAAATAAACACAGAGATGCATAATTTTATACATACCTTATGAGCGTTTCTGCGCATGCATAACTGCATAAAATATGCATAATTATGCTTTAAAGGGGAGGTTCTGGTGAAAATCTTGCTATTTTCCAAATGGATCTAACTGTCACAATTTGATCGGAATACAAAATCTTTCCTTGAAGAGACTAAAATTTGACTTTTGAAGGCACATGCCAGGCTCTGAACCCAGTCGAAGAGTCTTTTAGAGCCTATTTTGGCTGTATCTTAAAAAATCTTCTTGCGCATACTATTTAGTCGCAAAAGGTTGACCTTGACATTTTTCACTTCTCCGATTCATTTTCAAAAGATGCCGGCATGCATGCGTAGCTCAAAATTTCCATTACATTATTAATTGTAAGCTTTTTAAGCTGAAAAGTCCCTAAAATTTGTCTATTTTGTACATTTTTGGTCAATAATAGTGAAATGCTTGATTAGAAAGCTTGCGAATAAAAATGTCATTTACATTTTAAGTACTGCATGCTGGCATCTTTTAAAAATAAATCGAAGAAGTGAAAAATGTGAAGGCCAACCTTGTACGACAAAATAGTATGCGCAAGAAGATTTTTAAAGTTATAGCCTAAATAGGAGAAAAAGGCTCTGCGACTGGGTTCAGCGCACAGAATGTGCCTCCCCATTGAAAGTTTTTAATAATTACTTGGTAAGACATCAAATTTTTAACTAATTTTCACAGTGGGACCTATTTAGGAGAAAATAGCATTTTCACCAGAACCTCCCCTTGAAAAAAAAACACACAAATGTCTTCATTGCTAAAGAAAAAGATAAGTGAGAGAAAAACGTACTACTGAAAAGAAAGAAACAAGTCTGGCCAAAAATTCGCTTGGACCACCTATATGTTTGTGAAAATTGAAGGAATATGGTAATGAGCGTACCACGTCACGTACACCCTCAGACCCCTATGGACTTTTTTCTCTTGCTTAAAATTTTCTTTTTTTTAGCAGACGCAAAATATACTCTTACACTGCGCATGTTCATAGGTTTTGGGGTAAAATTGTCAACAGCCATTTAGAAATTAAGCCGTACATTGCAAACGCCATAAAGTCAGGTTTAATGGACGAAATACCCTACATAATCAACATAATTGTGCAAAGCTGAAGAGAAAATAATACATATTACGTTTGCACACAAACGTTTTAGAGAAGAGATCAAGTCAATACGAGGCTGAGAGTGTGCCGTATGACTTTATCGTCCTACCTATCCATTCTTTAAGGGGAGGTTCTACTGAAAATCTTACTTTCTTCAAATTGAGTCCCACTTTGTATGTTCATTGTAAATTTAAAGTATTTTATAGTAAATAGTAAAATATGAAGTTTGGAGAGGAATACCTAGCCCCAAATGCAGTCGAAGAGGAATTTTCTGCTAATTCCAGTCGTGTCTTGAAAAATTCTCCTACGCAAAGATTTTCAACGTAAACTGATGTTCTGGGCATTTTTCACTTTTTTTGTTCATAATTGATAAACCGTGGCATTAGTAACATACTGGGACCATTGCAAAATCATAAGCTGTGTTTTCAACACAGCATGTCACTAAAATTTCAAGAAAATGGTCAAAATCCTGATATTTTAGTGTCTTTTTTTCTGATAGGCAGTGCCAAAATAAATTTGTTGGGTCTCATGTCTTGGTGATGCCACGCTTTATTGCATGTGTGCCAAAGAAGTGAAAAATGTCTAGAACATCAGTTTACGTTGAAATACTTTGCGTAGGAGAATTTTTTAAGATATTGCTAAAATAGGCTGAAAAAACCTCTTCAACTGGATTTGGAGGAAGGTATTGGGCTCTAAATTTCATGTTTGACTATTAACTATGTAGTACTACACATATGCAACAAATGTTAACACTGGGGCTCAATTTGAAAAGTGCCATTTTTTCAGTAGAACCTCCCCTTAAGAACTTTATCGAGATGCATCGAAAACAGAAGAGTAATAGACAAGTAACATGAAGCCCGAGTGCGATGTAGTAAGCAAGTTGACAACCCGTCCAAAAGCACGATTTTTTTTTAACAGTGTAGCCGATGCCTCGGTTCTGCCGCTGCCTACCTCCACCTTCTGCCTCGTGTCGCTCAGGCGGTGGGCGATGGCCTCCAGGTGGTCCTCCTCGCGTTTGTTCCGGAAGAATTCGAGGCGGTGGAAGAGTCGCTCCAGGGGAGCCTTGACCTTGCGAACGGTCGCCTCCAGTCGCCGCAGCCGCTTCACCACGGTGCCACACTGCTGGCGAGGTGTCTGCCTCTGGAGAACGCCGTCGTCCAACAGCGAGTACAGCGCAGGGCACGCAGCCTCCGCGAACATGGCGACCTGTGGCAACAAAGCCAGGAGGCGGCGAAATCAAACAGTGGTCCCACTCTCATCCCAGGAACGTGACATCACATTCGAGCATTGTGTCACACTCGTTTGAATGTAACAAGCTCATTTTCGGCCGATTCACATCCAAACGAATGTGATGACACAATGCTCGGATGAACGTGACACTTTTAACAAATGCCTACAGGCAGTGGTTATTGCAGTTTAATTGACGGTGCGGCTTCGTAATCGCTCCAATTCGTGAATTGCCAAACGTAAGCTTAATTTCGTGCAAAGCTCCATCCACAAAATAAAGAACAAAAAAAAGGAAAAAAAAACATAGCAATTTGTGCATTAAGGGGGCTCGTACAAGTTAAAAGGGCTTTGTAAAAACATTTTGTTGGTGTGGAAGGATCAAGATTTTATGATTTCTGTATTAAAACCCTTTGCGATGATTGAGGCTTCATTTTGGCTTGAAGTAAAGTGACTTGGGACACTTTTTGGACATTTAGTAAAAACGTTTAAAATTTTGGTTCTCGTAAGATTTTGTTCGCATAGTTGCTCAGATCTGTTGGGGGAGGAGGGAGACTCATCCCTAGTAGTGTCACAGAAATGACTAGAACGAGCTTTGAATCTGCAATAGTTTTCAAGAAAAAAATAACAACAATTTTTTAACAAAATGTTTTAACAAAGTGCTTCTAACATGTATGGGCCGGCCCCCTTAACGGCAAACTCACCGGAAAGCTACCTCTCCAGACGACACCTCCTTGCCGCAGCTCCAGCGTCCACGTGGCCGCTTGGGAGTCCGCCAGGGCCAGCCAGTCGGGCAAATGCTGCGCCGCCGTCAGCGCCAAGTCCGCCTCCTCCCTGGCAGAGTCCTGGCTCTCTGCGTCGGCCGCACAAAAGTCCTGGAAGCAGGACAGACTCTGGAGAACACTCTCATTCCAGGAACGTGACATCACGTTGAAACGATCGTGACGGAATGTCACGTTCGTGTGAGCATTGTGTCACGTTAGTTTGAATGTGAACAAAATGATTGCTGCTCAATTCTATTTTTCGCTAAATTGGGAGTTTAAAAAGTGGGCAAGTTGAGTTACATCTACTTTCGGAGAGTATTTTCTCTGCAACCACTAGGAATTCAATGAAATAATTTGATTCAATGATTCATACCATTCTGAGGCACAATAATAAGATAAAAACTCAATTTGGAGATAAGTTGAATTAATTGTTTCTGCTTTCTGGATCAATTGGAAAACGAGTTTCATGAAATACTACTACTTATTACAAAAGTTATTCGTCACACAAACTTTTGTGTAATGCGCCAGCATTATTTGGTATACACTGGTGAAACAAAGGCATTAAAATTATGCCCTTTAAGGGCGCAAACAATTTACAACCCTGGGAAGGGCCTTCAAATTTTCCTTAAAATTCCTACCATTTACGCCCTTTCCAAGGGCATGAAACGATTTATGCCCCTTAAAAGGCGTAAAAGAGTATTAATGCTGTAAAGGGTGTAAAAGAGTATTGCTGCTCTGAAGGGCGTTAAAGAGTATTTATGCTCTAAAGGGCGCAATTTTTATGCCTGTGTTTTACCAGTGCAGGGCCGAATATCGAACCTGCCACTCCTCTTTCGCCGACTCCAGATTGCTCTGCTGCTCGTCCAGCTGCCCCAAATGGAAGTGCGAGGCCCACCCCGCAGACTCCACGACCTCCGGCAGCTTCGTCTTCACTTGTTTGGCCGCCTCCTCCAAGGCCTTGATGGCACGCAGCTTGTAGCGCAGCTCCTGAGCGACGGACATAATTCCATTCACACAGCGATCATGAGACTAAAGGACCCCACACTGTAAATCGAGGCGTTGAACAAGTGCGCACTTGCAGGTGTAGACAACAGCATCCTCCTACTCTTGCAAGTGTTGATCGTACCGTGTCCTACGCATAGAACGCAGCTTGGTCAACGATCGACAGAGATTGATTTGTCATGCTGCCAGGAATGGTTGACTTGACACTTCCTGGCAATAGACTCCAAGTTATAACGGAGTGAAGATTTTATGGCCTTACAGATGCTAAAAACCGATGAGAAAGTAGTGGCCATGATTTTTTGCAACGGCATAGGTTTACCCCATATGTCTACGTGCTTTTGGTCTTTAATTAATTACATAGTTGTGCACATGTAAGCGCTTGTACGTACATAAAAATTAGGGAAAACACTGGTAAAACAAAGGCATAAAAACTATGCCGTTTAGGGCATGAATACTCTTTTACGCCCTTTAAGGGCGTGAATCGTTTCAAGGGGGCTCATACATGTTAAACACACTTTGTAAAAAAAAAATTTTTGATGTAGATGGATTAAGATTTTACAATTTCTGTGTTAAAACCCTTTTAGATAACTGAGTAAGCTTCATTTTGGCTTAAAGGAAAGTGACTTTGGACATTTTTTGGAGATTTAGTCGAAACGTTTAAAATTTTGGTTCTCGTAAGACTTTGTTCGCATACTTGCTCAGATCTGTGGGGAAAAAATCAGGGAGACTCATCCCTAGTAGTGTCATAGAATTGACCACAATGGGCTTTATATCTACAATAGTTTTCAAGAAAAAAAATCAAAACAATTTTTTTAAACAAAAATTGTTCTTATTTTTTTTAAACAAAAAATTGTTTTTATTTTTTTTCTTGAAAACTATTGCAGATATAAAGCCCATTGTAGTCAATTCTATGACACTACTAGGGATGAGTCTCCCTGATTTTTTCCCCACAGATCTGAGCAAGTATGCGAACAAAATCTTACGAGAACCAAAATTTTAAACGTTTCGACTAAATCTCCCAAAAATGTCCAAAGTCACTTTCCTTTAAGCCAAAATGAAGCTTACTCAATTATCTAAAAGGGTTTTAACACAGAAATTGTAAAATCTTGATCCGTCTACATCAAAAGAAAATTTTTACAAAGTGCTTTTAACATGTATGAGCCCCCTTAAGCCCTTGCAAAAGGCGTGAATGGTAAAGGAATTTTAAGCAAAATTCTATTGCTCGTCCAAGAGGCATTAACTATTCACGCCGCTCCAAGGGCGTAAATCGTTAACGCCCTTAAAGTGCACAATTTTAATGCGTTTGTTTCACCAGTGAATATATCCACATCATGCTGAAGTATTTATAAAATTGTACCTTAGAAACGCACACACTCGCACATAACTTGCACATGCACATAAACGGCAACACTATTGAACAAAAAGTTCAAAGGCATTCCGTGTGTGCAAGAACGTTCTTGGTTTGTGTGTCTTACGATACTGACCGCGGTCCTGAAAGCTTTGAACTCGGACAGGGGCCGGCAGGACGCCTTCAGCTGCTCCGCGACGCCGAGCGTGTCGATGAGGCGCTTCATGACGATGGCGTCTCGGTCCGCACTGTGCAAAGCCCCGACGCCGTCCATGACCTGGAAGAGCCGAGGCGAGACCCCACTGTAGTCCGAACACCCTATGAGGCATGGTGAGCGAGCACACTCCAAAAGCCTTGGGAAGAAAACGAACACCATACGAAGAATTTTGTGCAAAAATATCGCGGAACCATTATTCGCTTCGTATGAAACTTTTTCAAAACAGCTTACAAAGAAAAGCCAAACTAGATTCGCAATACGAACCAACTATAAACAGCTTTTAGTTCGTATAAAGTAGGCACAAATTTCCTCCTAAACTCCTGCCGAATTCCGTCAGAGAGCGCATGGGGTGCGCACAAAGACGATTACACGCGACGATTACAGTGACGATTGATTACAACATGAAACTAGGCAAAGTCACAGCGCAAATCCAAGGGTGGGGGAGTCCCACACTTGTAAAGCGTGACCTTGACGCCTCACGCTTCAGTGTGGACCACGTTTTCCCTGCGACACTTGCAAGAAAGCCTCAAGCATAGGTGGGAACCACGCCAGTCCAAAGGACCACATAATTAAGCGTCGGCAAGTGGCACTCATCACTCTCATTGCAGGAACGTGACATCACGTTGAAATTGCTATGACAAAATGTCACGTTTCTTTGAGCATTGAGTCACATGCGTTTGAATGTGAGTCAGCTACTTTAAGGCTGAGTTAAGTACGAGGGGTCCACCACTCAGCTCAGGAGTGTACACAGGATTACTGATTACCAGTGAAAAGAGGTGTCTCTATTTTCTCTGCAAGGTAACAAAATTGTATTCCATCTGGAACAGGCAGCCCGAGATTAGACATTTTGTCCTGATTATGTTGACATAATTACCTACAGATTTAAACCTCGTTCGGACGAGAACCCAAAGTTCTAACCGAGGTTTCTGGGGAGGTTTTTACTAACTTTATAAAACTTGTTAAAATTAAGGGGAGGTTCTGGTGAAAATGCTATTTTCTCCAAAATAGGTCCCACTGTGAAAATTTGTTAAAAATTTGATGTCTTATCAAGTATTTATTAAAAATTTTCATTGGGGAGCCACATTCTATGCCCTGAACCCAGTCGCAGAGCCTTTTTCTCCCATTTAGGCTATAACCTTAAAAATCTTCTTGCGCATACTATTTTGTCGTAAAAGGTTGGCTTAGACATTTTTCACTTCTTCGATTCATTTTTGAAAAATGCCGGCATGCACATCTCAAAATGTCAATTGCATTTTTATTCGCAAGCGTTCTAACCAAGCATTTCACCATAATTGATCAAAAATGTACAAAATAGACAAATTTTTAGGGACTTTTCAGCTTTAAAAGCTAATAACTAATAATATAATGGAAGTTTTGAGCTCTGCATGCCGGAATCTTTTGAAAATGAGTCGAAGAAGTGAAAAATGTCAAGGTCAACCTTTTACGACAAAATAGTATGCGCAAGGAGATTTTTTAAGATACAGCCAAAATAGGCTCAAAGAGACTCTTCGACTGGGTTTACAGCGTGGCCTGTGCCTTCAAAAGTCAAATTTTAGTCTCCTCAATGAAAAATTTTATAATCCGAACAAATTATGACTGTAGGATCCATTTGGAAAATGGCAAGATTTTCACCAGAACCTCCCCTTAAGAGGTTTTTCCTTTGGTTCTAAATAATCCCGGCGAGTCTCTGATAGCCTTCGTGCGTTTCCTGTGAGCTGCCACGGCCTCCAAGACCACGAAAAAAAAAATCACGGTGGTCTTCTGAACAACCGCTAGAGAGCAACACGACAAAAACCGAAAAAAGTGCGCTTTGTCTCGATTTTTCTTCATGTCTCAAATTACCCCGTTCTACGGTAATTGGAAATCTTCATAAACTTGCCAAATTTTGGCAAGCTTGGAGGTGTTTCCGGGCCAAGCTTGCCAAATTTTGGCATTCAAAACGGCTTGCCAAATTTGTGGCAAGTAAACTTACCACCGGATTTGCAGTGAGAGCAGTAATAGACAATATAAGTACAATAACAATGAGAATGCGTGCCTCACCTCCAAGTCCTGGGCCAGCATGCCCAGCTTGTAGGTCCCGTGGGCGCGGTGCGGGAGGGCCGTCCGGAAAACGGGCAGCGTGTCGGCGAACCCCTCCACCAGCTCGGCCAGCGCCGCCACCTGGCCCTCCTCGTCGACCAGTCTGAGGAGGCGGTCGGCACCGAAGCCGAACGCGTAATGCGACGCCAGCACCATCCGGCGATGCTCCGTCCCTGGGAACAGTACTCTCTTAATATACTTTGCGAACCAATGTGTTAGCAAGCTTGCGTACAGTCTGACTCGTTCACAATGCAAAGAGCGCATCCGTGTTGCAAACCAGTGGTTGGCAGCTTGCGAACAAGGGGCTGTCCATAAAATACTTCAGGCGTTTTAAGGGAGGCAGGGGTATTCTTACCAGTGGTCCCACGAGCCTGGCGGACGAACTCCAGGAACCCGCGGACAGCGGCGCTTCGGGTCACCGTGTCCACGCGCCGGCCATCCAGCGTCAGCGAGTCGCCGTGCTTGGCGAAGCCCCTCAAAGCCGTCACCTCACCAGGGATGTCTCTCGCGGGCATCATGAAGCAATTGAAGGCTGAACCAGGGTTCACCACAGCAGCAATTTGAATGACCTGTAACGGAAGATTTGGACACTCTAAACGATAGTAGGATTATCTGACACACGCTCATAACTTGAGCACATGTAGGCCCAGGGTACACCCTGCACGGCAAAAAAAAAGCAACCTGGCTTTCCCAGGAAGCCCATGATAGAGACGTAGGCGATTTCCAGGGAGTTCCTGGGAAAACCAGGTTCCGTCTTTACCGTGTTTCGGGTTTGTCAGACGATGAAGTAGTTCGTAAATTAAGCAGTATGTATTTCCTTCGTAATGTTACGTATACTCAAAACACTCTGTTTATCAAGCTACTTTTCGTCGTGAGGCTTGAAACAGTTCGCAACACAGTAAATTGAAATGGCAGAATCCGTAACGGTTCGGCACAGAAACCGCCAGTAAATGATTCTGAATTTGGTAGTCACAGAAACTGGCATGGGCTAACATAAACTGACAAAGGCTCCACAGAATCTGGGATGGGCTCACAGAAACTGCTAAGGGGTTGCGGTCTCGCTGGCCAACCTAACCTCACTGTATCTCTGGATGCTTTTGTTGTTTTGGACATTATTTACATATTTTGATGAGTGTGCATACTTTTTCTTGCTTTGACAAGTCTATAAATTAATATTTTCCCTACGCGGTACATCTACACTCTTTATTTCCAATAATATAACATCTCAAAGTCGCGAGGTGGAGGGAATCGCAATAGGGCAGGCTCACATCTCGACAAGCGACGATCATCTGGGGATCAAAACGAGCGGGAACATTCAAGTAGTGTTCTCATATTTAGGCATCGGGTTGATTGTTTCGTGACTTTAAATAGCGTTTTGTTGCTCAGAGATAATACAAACGTTCGCTAGCACGCGTACAAGCTGCCTAGGGGCATCAAAATTGCTTCAAAACGATTTCCCCTTAATGAAAGTGGGGCCCGCAGTAGCAGCGTCCGCTACCAAGGCGCCCATAACCTCCAACCACATCCCTTTTATTTTTTCATGCGAAACGTTATTTTAATTTCAGTGAATACGCATCCTAGGTAGGCGTTCATGCTAAGAAATGCGAGGCGAGTGCATAAATCGTTCCAAATGCCCGATAAACAGCAGAAAAGAAGTCAAAATTCAAGCTTCCCGCGAGAATGATCCCCAGATGGAAGGGAACGTTGTTGGTCCCATCACCGCTAGTGACTCGCAGAAGCCGTTGTGAGCCTGCCCTATTGACGATTTCGGTGCAGTGTTGTCCGGATTCCGTGGCGAGTGCACGGATTCCGTCGTCTGTATGCAGAATGGGTTTGCCGTTGGCGGTTTTGGTGCAAAACCGCCGCGGATCTATTTACCTGTCGGTTTCTGCGATTTGGGGCTCTCAGACCACTACAGATTCTGCCATTTCAATTTACTGTGAAGGTTTCCAGAGTGCATACTTCCGTTACCCAAGTATGGGAATATTGTATTTTAAAAGGAGACTTTCCAGGACTTGAGAGTCCATCCGTTAGTCCCAGCAGTATGGCAATATACGTAGTTGAGAATCGTCACTAAAAAAAAAACGGGACTTGCTCTGACCTGGTTTGGGCCTCGCCGAACTCCCTAAAACGACGATTTTTCGGGTTAGAACAGGAGCTTTCGAAAAGCCAACAGAAAACGGAGTAAAATTTTCGAAAGGGTTTGTGCACTTATTACGTAACGTTTGCGATAGCTCTGCCCCTGGACTGCCAGTGAGTTCGAGAGAGACAGAGGACGGTAAGTAATAGTGAATTAACCTTATGGTTACGGTACCGGCGCCGCGTTGAAGCCAGCTGGCAGTACTGAGATCGAAAGTGTGGTGAATTTACCACATCTGGGTGTGGTGAGACCTAAAATGTGGTTACCTCATTCTACCACACGTACAAATGTGGTTAGAATTACACCCCTTCAAAAATGTGGTGTACAAGCCTTTGATTTAGCCGTTACCTCATGTATTGCGTGGTCAAGACCACCCTTTTATGAGGTACGGAGGGCTGACCACATATTAGCTGTGGTATTCACCATGAATTTTAGGTAGTACTTTGCTGTCTACTGATTTTATGGGGTATTGACCTCATTTCCACGTGTGGTAAATTTAGGTAACCACAGTTTTGCGCCTACCACACATTATCTGTAGTCTGTGCCACACTTCAAAGGACAGTGCCAGCACGACTGACCTATGACTTGCCTGGCAACCAGGCGCTCGCTCGTCAGAGCCGGTAAAGTGACAATGATGGACGACGCAGCACAGCGGGGCGGAAGACCAGCGCAGACAGCTTCAACTGTTGACGCGTTTTCAGCTCCAGAGTCACTAAACAGGACTCGAAGCAAACGTGACCCACCAATGGATTCCGCGTTCGGAAAGCAGTCCGTCAATGAGGGTCACACGTTCGATTTGAGCCCCAGTTAGCGACTCTCAGCTTAACACGTCTAGAATTTCGACCGTCTTCACAGGACCTCTGCACCACCATCCAACGAGATCCCAAGCCGTCTAACTCGTTTCCCTACCCACTGCGTACTCGAACACTGCATTAGGAAGGACTTTCCTTCAAAATACGAGGCAATTCTGCTAAGATTATAAAATGTCTGTTTTCTTCGTATTACGAAGCGATTCTTCGTAGAGATTTTACCGTCAACCGAATAAAGTAACTACCAAATTTTCCTCAGTGTCAAAACTCTCGTAAGCCAAAATCAAAAAGAGACAGCATGCCAGTTCTGGGCCTACGCTATGCACTGGAAAAACCTTACGAACTATTGTAGGCCTTTCAAAGAAAATAAGCTTGCTATTACTTCTAGACTTGAATATTTTGAGCAGCATTCATAAGCTTGCAAAGAACACTGGTAAAACTAAAGCGTAGTATTACCCTGTTTTCAAGCGTGATTAGTTTACGCTTGGAATCAAGCGTAACAGGCTTTTCCCTCAAGATTCATTCCCCCTATCTAAATGCATGGGGGAATTTCCAGAGCATGCTTCATTACATACGAACTATTTCTTCGCATTACAAAGTAAACTAGTTTGTACTATGTATGCTCAAAATACTTCGTAAGGTTTTAAGGGTGCACTTCAGTACACTTTTCATTGAAGATCAGGGCAGCTCACCTCATCTTCGATATTCAGTCCGGTGGTTTCCAGGTCAAAAATCACCAGCGGGTTGAAGCGGTTAGCTGCGTCCATTTGAGCCATCTGCAAAAGAGAAAAATGATACAGCCACTTTAGACTTCTGCCGCGTTCGTGTTTTTAAATAATTCAGGACACTAGCATACTAGCATGTCCTAAAAGTATTTGTCACAGGAAGTTCATTTTGTGGTCAAAATTCAACCACAATAAGATGAATTTATCCCCAAAGTTTGGGGCCTCAGTTTTTATTAGTGTCTAAGTTATGGAGTTTTACGTAAAGGTACAGTCGTTTCTCCCAATTGTCCCAAATTACGACAGAGGAAAAGTGCCCAAACCTTTGTTAGATTCTGCTAATTGAACCTTCAAAGACAAAAGATAAAGATAGAGTTGGCAAATTTGAAAATATCAGTCGAGAAGAAGCTGTATAGGCTATTTGGCCAGGCTCCCGGCAATTTTTCTTCAAATTTGAGAGACTTTGCTCCATTCAGATCTCGTTTTGGGTTTTTCAGGAAAACTAAGGGAGATATTAAAAACGGGCATAATTGCGAGACCCTGAAGACTGAATAGCTAATCTTTCATCGTGAGGAGAATTTGAGGGAAAGGACACGTAAGCATCCATAACTCAGAAACTAAAATGAGGTGGGGCCTTTTACTTAGAGCATAAGCTCATGCAATAGAAAGGAACTTTTACCCATAAATTGAGACATCTCGAGGCGTCCTAATAGAATAATCCTAACAGCCAGGGTAGATATAAGACCGTTTTAACTGTCAGAGCAGATCCAAGACAATCCTAACTTTTCGTCGTGTCAATTCAGAACTATCCTAACTTCAATATCACGTGAGAAGCGGTGTTTTCTCAAAGTCCGTGGCGCCAACATACTTCATAAAATTACTCGCCGAAGGGCTTGTGACAAAGTTTCATCCTTATTTAAATACGTGGACGTTGTATTTCAGATGTATCGAGATTCTCTGATTTGCAGTGAAGATACTTCATGAACACCTTTAGGTACCTCTGCAGTTTAGATAGTTCTAAATCTGCACTGAAAGTTAGGATCGTCTTGAATCAGCTGTGGCAGTTGGGACTGGCTTGGATCTGCTGACAGTTAGGATTATTCTATTAGGACGCGTCTTTCTGACCCAAGTCCAAGTATTTCAAAATAATAGTCACTGTTTTCACTTTACAAAAACCTTAAGTCGCCTCTAGGTTTGACCGACCGAGAATCGATCGGTCGCATGGGGTGGGTAAAAATGTTGTGGAAGTCGGTAGGCAAAATCCCCACTCATACGCTACTGCAAACAGGCCAAGTACGACCCTACCACTGTGTTCTGAAGCGTTCAAAATTTCACGTGTATGCATCTGTAGGTGTGAACTTGCAAGTATGCACCTGTAGATGCGTCATTTTAGTTTGTAAAGTGAGTGCAGCAATAAAGTTGACTGCTATGGGTCATCGATCCACGTTTGCTTACTTTCCTGTTAAGGGTACCGTCAGGCACTTAAATCTTAACAACGTGTATTGTATGGGAAACTTAGAGTCTACAACGAACACTTCGTCAATCTGCCGTTTGTAGTATTGTCATGGCCGCAACAACCAAACATATTGAGACAGAATTGAATACGAGGGAATTTTAACGAATCCCTGGACCGGAAGTCAAAGAACAGAAGTAGAAGTGAGAACTAAAGTCGCTTCTGGGCATGCGCTAAAGCTGCCTCAGAGTACTGCGCTGTAGCGGTTTTCGCTCTTCTTTTGTTCTATGACATCCGGTCTCGCGAAATCATTTATGGCGGTTTTGACGCGAAATCTTGCGAAATCAGCGAAAATTTAAGTGGTTTTTCCCACGGCATGCACTGCACATGCTCTAAACGTCATTTACAATGGCTCCACCAATTTCACCTTGCAGGAGAAGAAAGACCGGGTCTGTTCCGTTGACTAACGGGCCACGGTGTGATGAACGGTCCCGCTCTGAAAACTTAAATAAGTGCCTTCTACACTACACACGTTTTCAGTGCGCCTGTTCCTTCTGTTTCCTGAAGAGCCCAAATGGACCAGAAGACTCTAGCTAGACCGATGAGACGAGCTTCTTGCTGCCTCCCTCCACTCCAATCTTGTCCATACTTGGCTAAGAACCCATAACTGTACGCCTGACCCCGTAAACACCAGGCTAGGCCTTTGAACTTGTTCACTTCTCAACAGGGATATTTTAATGGATCCCTGGACCGGAAGTCAAGGAACGAAAGGAAGAACCAAAACCGCTTCTGCGCATGCGCAGACGTCTCCCCTCCACTCCGAGGCAGCGTCTGCGCAGAAGCCGTTCTGGTTCTTACTTTGGTTCTTTGACTTCAGGTCCTTGGATTCGTTATTAAAATACCCTATGCTTGCAGTGCGATGTGCTCACCTCAACTCAGCGCACAACGACGTTGTCCTCGGTCGACAAGGCGACTAGCTACGGCTTTCGTCCGATTCCCGGTGCGCTGTGCCCACTCCGCGCGGAAGACTACTTTTAGACTGTCGTGGTGCTAGTCATTGTTGCCGCTGTCACGGCGACAAGGCGCGGCGTTGGACGCGCGAGGGAAAAAAGGGGGAGCACAGTGTTGCAAGGCGTCGCTCCAACTGTTGCTGGCGGTGGACGGGGTTCTTCCGTGGATCCTCGACCGGAAGCAAATTTACACCTTTCCAGACGTCGCAGCGTAATGCACACAACAAACTCCCTTGCGCGCAGGAGAGGCAGGTGGCTCATCTAGATTCATATTGAGATATTCAGCTGTCACAGCCTATTTGATTCAGGAAGCAGAATATGGGAAAAATAGACTATTCTAGTCGTCGTCGACTGAAGAACAAGAAGAATCACAAAACCGGAAATAGCGGGTATCGGGAGTAGGTAGTGAGCCTGTTTTAGGGAAATAGATCGGGAGTAGGAAGTGAGCCTGTTTTCAGGGAGTGGGGTTCAGTTGCCGGCGCCATTTCCGGTTTTGTGATTCTTCTTGTTCTTCAGTCGGCGACGACTAGAATAGTCTTCTCGACTTATCACCAAGTTGAGTTTTTATTCTATTACTGTCCCTTACACTACAGTCCCTTAGACATTTGACCTTCGCTTGATCCACTTCGACACCTCGAAGAAACAAACGCACCGGAAGTCGCGCAGCGTAAGCCAATCAGAAGCCTCCTTACATCAGTGGCAGCGCCTACACTCGATGTAAAGAGGCTTGTGATTGGCTGACCCGACCCGATTTCCGGTGCATTTGTTTTTACGAGGGATCGAAGTGTATCCAGCGAAATGGTCTATAGTTTGTTCTCGAAACGAGATACTATGGTCGTGCGTCGTACGCGGCCTCGACCAGCACTTCGCCTGATGAGCAACAGGGCTCTTCAATTCATTAGAGTGGCGCTGCAGGAAGCCCTCCGAGTAATCTGTCTCTGTCACACTCAACGGGCACCTCGTGTGCGTGGGAGAGAGAGCGATGACGCGTTGTTCGGAACGAGACGGCAGGGGGCGGCTGAAGTCGATGTACTGGTCTACTGCGCCTGGAGTCGGCCGCGGGTCTAGCACACGGTAAAACCATCTCCTGAGATTCTTAGGAATGTAGGTCAATTTCCTGGAAAGTCTCATGGAATTCTCAGGAATATTGGATCATTCCTAGGGGACGGTTTTAAAGTGCACCCTTAAAACCTTACGAATAGACTATTCTAGTCGTGGCTGAGTGAAGAACAAGAAGAATCACAAAAGTGTACTTTTTTGCACTTTTACTTCAAATGTTTAAGTCCCCTTGCTTGGTAGAAGTTCATTCAAATATTTTCTAGTAAATGCAACATATTTCATCAAATATATTCACTTTAAATGCTCTAAATGGCGTCTTTTGTGATTCTTCTTGTTCTTCACTCAGCCACGACTAGAATAGTCTATTATTTAGAGCATACTTACACACTAACTAATTTATTTTGTTATACGAAGAAATAGTCCGTAAATTACGAAGTATTTTCTTCGTAAGCTTATGTATGCTCAAAATATTTTGTTCTTAAAAACACTGCTTTGCTTTGTAAAGCCTGAAATAGTTTGCAAGGTTTTCTTAGCGCTCAGGTGGCAACATGCACGACGGTCGCGTCATGACGGGCAGCGGAGCGGCGGCCTTGTCGACGGGCAAGACGCCACCGGACCCAGGTTGGCCACCGCGTAGGGCTAGGGGCTGGGATCAAGTGAAATGAACTAATCAGGCTTGGCTACCTGGTCGTCGCGGTCGTCCGCCTGGAGCGCCGACACTCCGAAGGCGCCACTGGAGGTGGAGGATCCGGCGTGCCGCAAGCCGGCCAGTGCAGGCCCGGAGCGCCCAGAGGCGGCAGGTAGGCGGACGTGACACCACTCTCAATGGTTAGTTCTTCGAGGTGACGGGACTTCGGGAGCGTACAGCCGGCACCTAGACGAGAAATTTGATAAAGGGAATCAGGGTTCACACCGGTCAGGGAAATCAGGGAAGTCATGGAAAAGTCAGGGAAAACCAAGGGGCAAACAACTTGAATTTAGGTGTACATTTTCCGTGAAATAACGGTGAAATAACGTGAAATAACGGTGAAATAACGTTGAAATAACGCCAAAATAAGCGTGAAATAACGGTGAAATAGCGCGAAATAACGTGAAATAGCACGAAATAACGTGAAATAACACGAAATAACGCAAAATAACGTTGAAATACCCTTGAAATAACGTTGGAATAACAATGAAATAACGTGAAATAACGTGAATTTGAAATAACGGTGTACAAATTTTGACGAAGTTGTTTGCCCCTCGGGGAAAACAAAATGGGCACTAGAAGTCAGGGAAAGTCAGGGAAATTCGATTTTGGTCAGGGGAAATTTGAAAAGTTCGTCAAAGTATGGACTTTGAACGCCGCACGTGTGGAAGCTGCATGCAATTGAAAATCAAAATTAAGACCTCTTTTGGGGTATCACGTGATGCGTGCTGGGAGACTGGGAGGCATTTTTTTTAAGAAGTCCGATCGTGGAACACGACCGATGCCGATTTCCTCCATTTTTTGGTCAAAGGTAGTCCTTGTGGGTCTAAGAAAGGCCGCAAATTTTTTGGGCCGAAATATGCACCGTTCAGATTCTATGGGCAATTTTCGTTTTCTCAGACAACTTTTCACATAATATGGCCAATATTGAAAAATCACCTTTCTGAGGCCTCTATGCACTCGATTGACCTCAAAATGTGGTATCTTATGTAAAATCACGCGAGGAACACGTATCCGGTGCCCGTTTGTTGATAGGACAACCTAAAAAGATGTTATGACTGTTTTTCAGGTTTTGTAGTGGTTTTTACTTTTCTTGGGGTTTTGGTGTTCGGCATCGATTTTCGCCAATCCGATGAGTGGATTTTATAGATAGAGGACCAATCTATCATATTGCGAGATAAAAAGTTTGTGTACGCCGCGTGAAAAGCAGTGGCGCTGCAAAAATTGAAAAACCGTCATTTCTGGGTAGTTTTAGATCAGATAAGGCTCCTTTCGCGTGACCGTCTCCGCCCCATATTCAGTCTAAATATTGTCCCAAGTGATGTCAGATTTGTTGTGAAATTTCACCGCTGTAGCTCAAGTAGTTTGGAAATGGCAGCTTTCTAAAGTTTTGCAATCACGTAAGGCATTTACTTTAAGTAGAATTGCGGTAAATGTGAAGACTTGTCACAGATCGGGTAATAAATGAGATAGATGAGTGCGTCAAAGTTCTCTAAGCGTAATTTTGGACAAGGAATCCGATTTTGCCGGTACGAAGACCCTAGGTGTACTCTAAAACTACGTTTTCGTGCAAACCACATTAAAATGGCCTGTTTTCCGACTTCAGAGTTCGCCTAGGGTCTTCGTACCAGCAAAATCGGATTCCTTGTCCAAAATTACGCTGAGAGAACTTTGACGCACTCATCTATCTCATTTATTACCCGATCTGTGACAAGTCTTCACATTTACCGCAATTCTACTTAAAGTAAATGCCTTACGTGATTGCAAAACTTTAGAAAGCTGCCATTTCCAAACTACTTGAGCTACAGCGGTGAAATTTCACACCAACTCTGACATCACTTGGGACAATATTTAGACTGAATATGGGGCGGAGACGGTCACGCGAAAGGAGCCTTATCTGATCTAAAACTACCCAGAAATGACGGTTTTTCAATTTTTGCAGCGCCACTGCTTTTCACGCGGCGCACACAAACTTTTTATCTCGTAATATGATAGATTGGTCTTTTATCTATAAAATCCACTCATCGGATTGGCGAAAATCGATGCCGAACACCAAAACCCCAAGAAAAGTAAAAACCACTACAAAACCTGAAAAACAGTCATAACATCTTTTTAGGTTGTCCTATCAACAAACGGGCACCGGATACGTGTTCCTCGCGTGATTTTACATAAGATACCACATTTTGAGGTCAATCGAGTGCATAGAGGCCTCAGAAAGGTGATTTTTCAATTTTGGCCACATTATGTGAAAAGTTGTCTGAGAAAACGAAAATTGCCCATAGAATCTGAACGGTGCATATTTCGGCCCAAAAAAATTGTGGCCTTTCTTAGACCCACAAGGACTACCTTTGACCAAAAAATGGAGGAAATCGGCATCGGTCGTGTTCCACGATCGGACTTCTTTAAAAAAATGCCTCTGGGCAAGCCGGCAGGCAGGCGGTCCTCCGCTCATACTAAATTCTTACGGACTTTTAAAATGCATAATTATGCACTTTATATGCATAGTTATGCATGCGCAGAAACGTCTATAAGGTATGTATAAAATTATGCATCACTGTGTACATTTTATGTATCTTCCTGCATAAAATGTACACAGTGATATTATACATATGGACGTATCTGTGAATGCATAACTATGCATAAAAAAGTCCATAAGAGTTTAGTGTGCTGCACCTGGCGACGGATCAGGGAGGGACAGTTGCCCAGTGTCCCAGCCATCATGCATTTCGGTTGCGCTGACCTATCTTCCACATGACTTTAATAACGACTGCCCCCGCGGGTCCTGATGGAGTCCTTCGCTGCCACCCTGGAGGCTCACTCCGCGGGTCCTGGGGGTGTTCGCGGCCCATGGACCGCGAGTCGCGAGGGTGACGGCGAAGGCTACCCCAAAAGTGGTCTTGATTTGGATTTCCGACTCCGACCCCTAGTGTTCTATATCAAATTATTCGTCTCGAGCCGGCTCTACGCTCCCAAAGTCCCTTTAACTCGAAAAAACTCATCCTGTATGACGTAATTACGTACGAGGATGTATTAAGGGTGAAGACGCTTTTATTACTTCCAAGGCTGAAAGGTTGAGTTAGTAAAGGAGTACATAGGAAAAACAGGATGGGGGTCGAAAAATCTCTTGAATAGGGATTACTTCTTATGTGGACGACCTCTAATCCAAGTGCGGGACGCACTGCTTGAAAAAACCACACTAAACCTAAACTCCTGCCAAGTGTATCAGGAATTTAGTGTACATCAACTGTTGTATACAGTACAATGGAACCAGCATGACGAGAGCAGTCCAGTTCAGGACTCGTCGTTCTTTGTACAATTTTCGCAGTTTTCGTTGTGCTTTTGTTCTATTCGGATAAGCGCTCCAAGCCTACTGAACACTTTTGTGACAGGGTCATTCCATCCTACTTTTACATCCCGTTACATCGACCCCCTCCGATTTGCTTCAAATTTTGGTCAAATGTTACCTACCTATAGATAAGTCGTCCACCAAAAAATTAGACCTCTACGATGCATGGTTTGGCTAAAAACGCATTTTTTCATTTTGACCATTTTTTCTTAAATTAGTGTAGGTTTTTACGAAAACGGCTATAACTTCCTTTCTAATCGCAAGACTCCGTTCAAACTTGGTACTCCCACTCAAAATTGAACAAGGAATCCAAATCTGCCGTCGGAATTGACCTAGGGTCACCCAAAGTTGGTCAAATGTCCAAAATGCGAAAAAAATTGACATTTTTGCCAATATTCAGCTGCAACACTAACAGGGCTCCTAGACAGCTCAAAATCTTCAGAAAAGTGCCCTCTTTAGGAATCTGAATGCAGAAGTCCCAGTATATGCTTCCTAAGGGTCAGTTTTTGACCAAAACGCGAAATACCGCCCAAAACCGCTTGTTTCACCCTCCCACGGACGCCACCTGGGCGGCACGGGTCCCTCCGCGTGTTTGAAGGACTAGCTGGGTCATTTTGGGGTGCAGGTGGGCACCCCGCACTGTAAAGTACTCTAGAACGAAGGCCAACGCGCCTCCAAGGTCACACAATTAGGCGCACATCACGTATTTTGCCTAGATTCGGAATGAGCAGCGGAGCGCCTGGAGGTAGGCCATCCCGTCGACCTCTGCAGTGTTGTTGGTGGCCTGCCCAGGAATAGTGCTTCTGGCCGCCGGTGAGAAGGTTGAGAAAAATTTGATGCACAGATAAATTCCTGCAAAGAACCGCTCTTTGTAATACGAAGAAAACGGCGGCTTCGCAGCCTGCGAAGGAAATCGTTTGTAATACAAACGATTTTCTTCGTAATACAAAGGAAAAATCCTTCGCAGGCTGCGAAGAAGCTCTTCGTAGGCTACGAAGAATTTTTCCTTTGTTTCAAAGAAAATCGTTCGTATTACAAACGATTTCCTTCGCAGGCTGCGAAGCCGCCGTTTTCTTCATATTACAAAGAGCGGTTCTTTGTAGAGTTTTAAGTGTGTGGGAAGGGTAAAATTGACGAACAGAGAAAATTTTCATTGTGTCTCTTTTGTTTCTTATTAATATTCAAATTAATTTTGTACACCCCCTATTTTCTACGCAGCAATTGTTGGCGGCTCCTGGCACGCAAATTTAAACTATGAACTACGAATGTTGGCAGTTCAAATTGAACATCATTTAACTCAATTAAGTTCACTTTACACAGAACTTCAGGGAAAGGTGCAACGTACACCATATAATCAGAGGGCCAGCTAAATTTTGTCGATGGAAGGGAGTGCAGTAAGAGAGCTAGATCCGAATTCCGAATCTAGGCAAAATACGTGATGTGCACCGAATTGTGTGACCTTGGAGACGCGTTGGCCTTCGTTCTAGAGTACTTTACATACGGGGTGCCCACCTGCACCCCAAAATGACCCAGCTAGTCCTCCAAACACGCGGAGGGACCCGTGCCGCCCAGGTGGCGTCCGTGGGAGGGTGAAACAAGCGGTTTTGGGCGGTATTTCGCGTTTTGGTCAAAAACTGACCCTTAGGAAGCATATACTGGGACTTCTGCATTCAGATTCCTAAAGAGGGCACTTTTCTGAAGATTTTGAGCTGTCTAGGAGCCCTGTTAGTGTTGCAGCTGAATATTGGCAAAAATGTCAATTTTTTTCGCATTTTGGACATTTGACCAACTTTGGGTGACCCTAGGTCAATTCCGACGGCAGATTTGGATTCCTTGTTCAACTTTGAGTGGGAGTACAAAGTTTGAACGGAGTCTTGCGATTAGAAAGGAAGTTATAGCCGTTTTCGTAAAAACCTACACTAATTTAAGAAAAAATGGTCAAAATGAAAAAATGCGTTTTTAGCCAAACCATGCATCGTAGAGGTCTAATTTTTTGGTGGACGACTTATCTATAGGTAGGTAACATTTGACCAAAATTTGAAGCAAATCGGAGGGGGTCGATGTAACGGGATGTAAAAGTAGGATGGAATGACCCGACACTAACGCCGAGGCCGCTTTTTCTTGCGGTGCTTGAGTTTGCGCAGTCTTCTACATTAGGGGTCCTCTTCATTTGCAATCAGTGTGGTCGTGACCATTGTTGTTTTAATGGCTTTCAGAAGAGGGTGCAAATTTCGAATTATATTACGAACTAACCCTCCAACCAGCAAAACAAAAACATGCTTGCAAAGGACGTA